TGGTAGTTATTAAAATTGTTACAAAAATATATAATTCTAATAAAAATAGATAAGTTATAATAATTTTTTATTAACACAAACATCCGATACGCTACTGAAGCAAGTAAATCAAATTGACGTATCTAAATTCTTTGACATCTAATCTTTGACGAGTAGTAAATAAAAGCAAAAATGCAAGAAAAATATATAATTAGTTAATTTAAGTGAATTTCATAAATGATCGGTTTACTACACGTATGTATATTATATAGTCACTTACTAGCGAAAAGTTGATCCATTATTTCACTCGATTTTTGCCGAGATCTACCGCACGCTACACGACCAACTATTTTAGAGTCTTTTCGATAAATCGCGATAGTGTCACTGTTAATTTAAGTTCTGCCACAATTTCCATCTAGATTTACTACCTTTATACAACTATCAGTAGTAGAATAAATAATAAATAACATAGAATAAGCTCCATAAAGACTGACAAATTTTCAATCAAATTCAAATGTGTCAAATAAATCGTCAAAGCAAACTGTCAAGGATCCCCACCATAGAGTCCTTTTTTCGCCCACCATGCATGAATACAGGGATAGCATTATGCTCCTTCCTTAGTCGTCTTATTCAAAGTGAGACACCGTTTGATTTCTTTTGTCTGAAACATAAGTCTACTAAAAATTAGGATGTGAAAAACTAATACGATATCCCCACCCTGTATATAAAAATTACAATAATTAAAATTTGTTCGAATCTTGCAATCATTGTTTTGTATTTGATCTAAATTGTCCCTCCAAAAAAATACAAAACAAATTTATGTCTTATATAAGAAGAAGTATTCTCATTCATGAAGCTAGTGATATGTGTGAGTATTACTTATAAACTTTAACTTTGTTAAGGTGACTTTTAAAATAGCATATACCATCTAATTTGGTTACATATTTGCAATAATTATTGTTTCAAGTTTCAAGTTAAATACAGCAGCGACGTCACTGGGATTTATTGTAATTATCATGCGTTTATTATTAATACAATTATTTCAGTTTTTATTACATTCAAGCTTGACTATTTATGCAAATTATTAATTATTGCGTATAAAATCAGCGCATTGTTTATGCATTTTTAGTTCGCTAATACATAATTGATTGAGAAGTTAAGTAGATTTGAATAAGTCTTGGTTGGAAAATTTTATTGAAAACTTTATAGCAAACGCCGTAAAACGCAATGGCTTTTAAAACGGTTTCAAAATTATAACCTGCTTTTCTCGGAAGAATGTGTCATGAAAATGAATGATCCGCAACTTTGCTTAATGTCATTAAATGATCTATGCATTTTTTCAAAGAAATAAAAAAAATTCTCTGAATCGTAGATCTAGAAATAATTACCTATTATAATTTATAGCAATCTTTAATCTTTCCTAGAGATTTGGTTCAAAGATTTTTTAAACCATACTGTATGATTTAAAGAAATACCGTCAAGTGGACTTGGAAATGACGATCGATGACATTAGCCATATAATTTTGCATATACAGAGTGGTCCGAACGTCCGGAAACTTTGGCAGCATATTCTGCAGTTAGAAAAAATTAAAAAAGTTCGTATAAATGTATGTCCTAAAATGCTTAGTTTCGAAGATACAGGGTGTAGAAGTTTCATTTTAATTTTAATTTTTTCCAAATAATCTCTAAAGTAACGTCAATAATTGGACGAAAAATGGTGTTTGGGAGTTTTTGACATGAGAAATTTGATTTTGATGTCAATATGACTCCTACTTGTAGAGGACGCCACCTACATATTTTTTAACTGGTTTGAAGAGTAATAACTTTTCGTCCGTACCTGTATAAAGCTACTGGGTGAGAAAATATACATTTACGCCGTTTTTTACGTAAAAAAGATTTCTTGGTAAAAATCGCTACGAGTAATAGTTCTTGAGATATTTGGAATCGAAATTATCAATACCTGTCGTCATTGACATAAATTAAACATGTTGACTAAATAGTTATTAAACTGAAATCATAAATTTGAATTTGAAATGTTTTTGTGTAAAAAGTTCAACAGAAACTTTTTTATCATCATTTTTTCAAAGAAAAATTTATGATTAATTTAAAAAAATAAAAAAATTCCAAATTTACTATTTCAGTCAAATAACTATCTACTCAACATTCTCGTAGGTATGTTTATTTCTTGTTAATAATGACATGTATTGACTATTTCCATTCTAAATATATCGAGAACGGTTGCTCGGTAGCCATTTTTACGAAGAGATATTTTTTAAGTAAAAAATCACGCAAATGTATATTTTTTCACCCAGTAGTTTTATACAGGTACGCACGAAAAGGTATTACTCTTAAAAACAGTTAAAACACATGTAGGTGGCGCCTCCTACAAACAGGAGTCAGATTGACATCAAAATAAAATTTCTCATGTCAAAAAACTCCCAGACACCAGTTTTCATCCAAATATTGACGTTACTTCAGAAATTATTTGGAAAAAATCAAAATAAAAATGAAACTTCTCTCCAAAACTAAAAATTTTAGGACATACATTTATACGAATTTTCTTACTTATTTTTATCTGCAGAATATACTGCCGAACTTTCCGGAATACAGTTCAGACCACCCTGTATATGAAATGACACAGTTTTTAGATGTTTTTAAATTAGGTTATTAAGTGCAATAGTCGAAAAAACGGCGCCATCAGATTTGAATGACAATCACTCTCAATAATTTAGATGTAAAATTATGTACCAATTGTCATCGCTTATCATGGCCAAGCTTTTTTCGATCATACGGTATCAAACCAAATTGATTTCAATCATCAAATTATCTAGATTAGCCTTATGGCATAAAAAGAGATTATTATGAAATGCACAAGTCTGTTTTTGCTATACGGGGTGGCGCCACTCATACTACTCATAGAGACTCCAGAGAGGACGGTAGTTTTTATTGAAATGAAATTCCACCTGAAATGAAATTTTGGAGTTACAGGGTGACCCAAAAAAAGTTCCGAATCAAAGTTTTGTTTTTAGTAATAGAACGCCATAGAGTTTAACCGAATTTTACACCTGTCCATCATACTAGGCACCCTCTACTGTTTGTTGACATGTCCCATGCTAGAGGGTGTAGAGGGGATCTTGGCTTAGCCGCTTGGACATAAAAAAGACAACCTCGCCAAAAACCTAAATCCTACGATGGCGGGACTAGGCCAAAAGGATGCGTGGCTAGATACTATGTCTTAGCGGAGCAGAAGTACGGCTATACCTCCGACTGCTCCACGAAGGACTTGCTCCATATCGGAAGCAAAAACCAAAGCACTGCTCAAAAAAGTGGAGAGTAAAGGAACCAAGCTTGGTGCATCTCCACCAAAGAGCAAGAGAGGGAGCAAGAACCTCTCACCACTGCTCCGACAAGGAAAGAAAAAAGCCAGAATGGAAAGCCGTCCAACACCGGGAGGCAAGCAGAGACGTATCACCAGCTTTACCGCTATTGCTGAACAAGTGAAAATTTTGATACTGCCAAAGGATTTTGGTACTCCCAAAGGCTGAACTGACCACCCACCAGCAAATGGCTCTAGAAAAGGTGACACAACGATTCACAAAATGTGGGCCAGCTGCGATTTGCGAGTGGGACATGGTCAGGTCTGCATAATAGAAATTGACCTCAAATCCAAGGAAACAATAGAGAAAGAGAGAAATATGCTCTATTATAGATTTCGGGACAACATCGGTATCAGGTCTGTTAAAGAAGTGAGGGAAATGGGGAAAGATCCTACGACCTCCACCTCACGGATACCTCAGCCGGAGACAAACTCGTCGATTATGAAGGTCGCGGAGGCCAAACCCCAACCGTGGAATGGTGTATACACTTGTAGAAGGTAGATGTTCACTCCTTGGGAGAAGAACTGTCTGTTGTCAAAGAAGGATGGAAAAAAAACCTACAACAGGGGGACAGAGGGGATAGTACGATAAGTTAGACTGTATGATGAGTTGTAGCTCAAGAAAAGGGTACAATAGATCTTTAAGGTCGCGGTGATTAACCCCCATCTCACTCATTCTACATTTATTTTAACTGATTTTGGATTCTAGGAAAAAAAAATAAAGGTGAGTTTTATTAAAAAAACATTTGACTAAACTGTAAGGTTTTTCACATATTTAACTTTTTATGAAAATGAAGAGTGAACTTTAATTTTCAAAATAAAAGCTACCTAATTTGAGAGGTCCAGAGGAAACCTCTGATAAGCGCCATTTTACTAATTATACAGTCCTGGACGGCTGGTCAGGTTCTTTCCCTGTATCAGGTTCTTTCCCTGTATGTACGATTTTACTGGGCATATATCATAAGATTTAACAGTTTATTGTCCTGCAGAGAGAGAGGGTGACTCTCTGCAGAAATTAATATTTTTAAAAAATGCTCTAAATTACACTACATATGCTCCCAAAATTTAATTTCAAAACAAACTGTCGTTCTTTTTAGAGCCTCCACGCTCGTAAGAGAGGCGCCACCCTGTATATAATTCTTAATAAAACTTAATTGAATTTCAGGTATTTATAAAAAAAAACTTTAAGATACTTTTAAAAAACTAAATTATCACTGGTGTTAACCTTTGTACTATTGTTTTTAACTGTTTGTGTAATATAAATTTTAATCGAATCATTGAAATGTCATTGCTTTTATTGACATACCTTGTTTGTATATATAGGAAAACATAATTAATTAACAATGTATCTGAGTCACGTTTAAAACCTTGCTCGGCAAATAAAATTGAAAGAGAAAATTTCCACTTGTTTCTAATTGTAGATTATTTTACGATAAAAATACTCTAAATTCCCGATCGTAAGAGAAAAACAAAGCTTTTCCTACGTCAACATAGTAGAAATTTTAATACGTATGTAATTTCATAGATCCAAGGAAACAAATTACCATCCAAACCTTTAATTTTAAAAAGCCCATTTAATATAATTAGAGATTTCTGATCCAAACGTTCAATTAAACATAGAATAAAAGTATTTAAATCCTTCATCAGTTTCATATATGCGTGCACTTTTCTTAACAACGCACATCATTAAATGCAAATAAGATGCACTCAAAAATAGTTATGTTATGTATTGTTTCAGTTGCGATAATTCAGGCAGATGAATCGATTTCAAGGTTTGACAGTATCGATTACGAAGAGATTTTGGCAAGTGAAAGATTATTGAACAACTACGTAAACTGTCTTTTGGATAGAGGACCCTGTACACCAGAAGGAAACGAATTAAAAAGTAAGGATAACTTATTAACATCTTTATTAAAATGTTTTGAATATATTTATTTTCGACATCTTTATTACCTAGTCAATAAAACTCTTTACAATTCCTCTAAAACCAAATTTGGCTACATTACTATTTTAAGTCAGTTTTTAAGAGAATATAAAATATTTTGAACTATTTTTTTAATATTTTATTTAAATACATTTTATTTGTTTACAATTTCATATTTCGAATGGGTTTGAGAGTTCAAAACATATTAAAGAATGAATTTACATGTTGATGAGTCAGTGAGTCTTCATCAAATTGCATAAAACTGTTTATTGTAACACCATAATGCTTATACTTGGAAAGCTCAAAACTTGACAAGATAATTGCATGAGATAAATCCTGGATGGAGGATGTAGAATAGGGAGGGGGGTTAATCACCGCGACTCTAAAGATCTACTGTGTCCTCTTTTCTTGAGTTATAAGTCGTCATACAATTTATAACTCATCATCATATAACATACAGTTTATAACGCATACATGGTGGCCCTTCCTGTGGTAGGGGGGACAGGGTATTTCCCATCCTCCTCTGAACAACAGTTTTTCATCCTCTATCCTCTGATGTGTTGACATCTACCTTCTGCGAGGGTATACATCCTGCCACGGTTGGGGTTTAGCCCTCCGTGCCCTTCACAGTCGAAGATATTGTCGAGATGGAGGCTGGAGGATCTGTCTCCATTTTCTCCACCTCTTTAACTTAGTCTCTCCTTACATCTCATACTGATGTTGTCCCGAATCTATAATAGAGGATATATTCCCTCTTCCTCTATTGCCTCCTTCGATTTGAGGTGAATTCCTATTGTGAGGACCTGACCATGACCATGCCCCTCCTCCCTCGAGACTCGCCGACTCGATCTCTTTTCTCTTCAGTTCTGGCAAAGCTTATGATACACTGAAACGGTTAGTCGATCCACTTCTACAGAGCCCTGCATGTAGAAATAAGCGAGACGAGATACCCTGGTGCCCCAAGGTTGAGACCAGTAGAGGCTAGTTTTCTATCTAGTCTTCTACGCAACACTTTGACCTGGTCCTGCCATCGTAAGAGTTAGGTTTTTGATGAGGTTGTCTCCTCTTGGTACGGGCGGTTAAGCCAAGACACACCCTCTATCGTGATATATGACAGTAGATGTGGTATATAGATAGTAGAGAGTACTCGGTATGACGGACAAGGCAGTCCCATCCGGCGTCGTTATATGTCTTGGTGCAATTCCTTGGCCACGACACTACTGCCACAGACAAGATAGTGTGATGGTCCTTAGATCCAGCCAAAGTTCTAGAGGGAATTTCCCCTAGCACGTGAATAGGAGCTTCCCCACCAACGACGAGGTCTCGTATCTCCTAGAGGAAGTAGATGGGGTATAAAACTTGCTGTGATTATGTTAAAATAGCGACAGTGCCAGTGCTTCAGTTTCGTATTTCTTTAGAAATATTGATGTTTTATTAATAGATATTACTAGTTGGGGGTTGGAACCTTACAATACACCAGCAGATGGATGTTCAGCATACTGGATATACAATATAAATATGTTGGATAATAAAAAAATATAAATAATAAAACAAACCATATTCTCTTAAAAATTGAACTGGTGTTTAAAGTACTTAAAAATATGTTAATAAATTATGATTTTCTGTTCGTAATAACGTTGGTTGAAGGATTAAAGTCTTTCAATCGACGGTATAATCGGTGTTACATTCTTAGTTTAGAATTTTGATATAAACAATCCGTTAAAAAGGATTTATTCTCTGTTCTTAATATTTTGAAAATACATTTATGTGGTTGATCTTTAATGTTTATTATACTTTTTATACTTTTTGTCAATTAATATGAAATGTATACAAATTTGCAATTAGCTAAACTATTATGTTAACTTTTCACTCGTACATACAGGGTGGCGCACCTCATTCGCCTCTGTTGATTATACGAAAACTGAAAGATGTAGAAATATAATATTTTATGAGTATATGTGGGGAGACAATGTGCACAATTTAAAATTATTTTGAAATATACAAGGTGTTTCAGAACTAAGGTCCATACCAAAGTTATATTTTTTCTTATGGAACACCCGGTATTTTATTTCACTTTTGGATTCTGGGTCCCAAAATAGGCATTTATTATAAGGATTAAATATGTTTAAAATCTTTGGTTTTTGAGATATTTAAAGATATTTAAATTTGCATGCTACAATAGAATAGATTATTAACACCCTGTACAATACTTTTCAGAATTAATTCTTGTGCTGAGTTTAAAGGCAGAGAAAAAAACTTTACAGAAAAATGTTATTGATTTCTTAAGTTTATACAGGGGTATCAAAAATTACTGATCTGTTTTAAGAATTTATTTTACATAAAAACTTTATTATTTTAAATACAACACCCTGTATTTTTTAAATAAATCGAAGCAGATTCAAATGCTCTTTCAAACTATATTAGGGTTTCCTATACCGATCTAGCTCAGATTTTGAATAAAGAACAATTTTCCAATAAAATGTCAACGAAAAGGGCTAGTGTCGTCATGGCAAGTTTCTAGTGACAGTTGTAGCTATTTTCAAAATCGAATTTAGTTTATGGACTTAAATTTGTACCAGTTTATTTTATTTAATTTAGTTACAATAGTTTAATAAATAATATTTATTAAATATGTATTTATTATTCTATCAAGAAAAACGAAGAAGTAGTGCTTTGATTAATTTAGGATGACTTGTAGATATATGGATTTTCTATAAAAGAGCCAATTACGACAAATTCATTTTCTTCACTTCCAACGACAGGTTTCTGCAAATAGGTTTGTGTGGTTTATAAACCACACTACCCAGCTCAGCGAAATAGGACAAGTACTTTTTCAAAGGAACGCTTATCAGGAAGATTTCTATTTGGATATCTTTGACCATAAGCCCTTGAGGCCAAGAAGCATTTTTCCTGACAAAATAAAATCTCTAGTAACATATCTATTTGTTTCGCCAGCAGATACTGCTTTATTTTTCTTGATAAAATAATGAATACTTACTTATTAAACTATTGTAGGAAAATTAAAGTAAAATGTTATAAATTATAAATAATAATGTCTATAAACTAATGTCGATTTTGAAAATAGTTACTAACTGTCACTAGAATATTGCCATGGCGACACCAGCCATCTTGATTGCAATTTTATTTAAAAATCGCTTTTTATTCAAAATCTAAGCTAGATAGGTATAGGAAACCCTAATGTAGTTTGAAAGAGCATTTGAATCTGCTTCGACTTATTTTAAAAAATACAGGGTGTTGCATTTGAAATAACGAAGTTTTTGTATAAAATATATCCTTAAAATAGATCAGCAACTTTTGATAGCCCTGTATAAATTTAAGAAGGCAATACCATTTTTCAGTAAAGTTTATTTCTCTACCTTTAAACTCAACATAAGAATTAATTCTGAAAAGTAATGTACAGGGTGTTAATAATCTATTCTATTGTAGTATGCAAATTTAAATATCTTTAAATATCTCAAAAACCAAAGATTTTAGACATATTTAACCCTTATAATAAATACCTTTTTTGAGCCCAAGAATCCAAAAATGAAATAAAATACCGGGTGTATTATAAGAAAAAATATAACTTTGGTATGGATCTTAATTCTGAAACACGCTGTATATTTCAAAATAATTTTAAATTGTGCATATCGTCTCCCCACATGAACTCTGAATAGACTTTTGTCATCAACTTTTGACATTTTCGCTTAAAAAATCGTATTTTAAATTAAAATTGAAAGTGTTATGGCTGTGTTAAAAACACTAATTTTTGATCAAGGAGCCTGTGAGGGTTAGGTTAATTAATAGTTCATTAGCATATTTGAAAAAAACATTTTTTTACGAATAATTTAATACGACACACTTAGTATTTCTAGTCAAATTGTTGTTATGACCCGCATGTTACAATTTCAAAAAAAAACATATGCGAAAATGTCAACAGTTGACATATGATATGTCACTCTATTCAGAGTGTCATATTCTATGGAATAAAATAATAAAATACCGAGGATGTAATTTAAAAATCAAAAGTTGTAGTTATTTCTCGTGAAGCAAGAAATGATCGAAAACAATTGAATACGTCAATCAATCCTAATTAATGTCATATACTAATATACCAAATCTCGTATTTTTTATTTAAAAAAATAAAAAAGTTATAGGGGTGAGCCACTTTTGAGACGCACCCGGTATGTAAATAAATATACCGGGTGTTCGGTATATTCATCGTCGGACGGGACATAGGAAATCCCATGTAAATTTTAATGGGGTCAATTATTGGCTGCCCTAATTATTTTAGAGAATAATTCTATTTAGGTTTATTGAAGAGCACTAAAAACCCACATTCAGAAGAATAACTTTAAATATTTTTCATTAGCTCGTTTACGAGTTATCGCCGATTTCTTTTTAAATATTTCTCCTTTCTTATGGCCCTGTATTTACTTATGACCACCAGTCAAGGCAAAAGATATATGTCAAATGAAGTTGTCATTTCCGAAATTTACCTATTTAGTGCTTTATTACAGAGCTTTATTATTATTGAAAACTCATTCCTACATCGGAAATCTTAAAGATGTATTTATAAATACAAATTAACATTGAAGTAAAATAAAGTAATCAATTACAAGGTTAATTATAGTATTATTACAATATTCAATAACTATACTTAATTATACTTAAGTACTATTAAATTGTTAGAACTTTAGGATTTAAGAAGATATTCAAATATTCCTCCATCGACTGCTAGACAATAACCCAGGCGATCATAAAATTATCTTCTTACATTCACTAGTTGGTAAACTGAAATTATATTGCATTCGGCAGAAATAGCATTAATTAACTCGTCTAGATTTGGGTATTTTTTATCCTTGTATATCCTGTTTTTTAAATGGCCCCAGAGAAAGAAATCATTTGGCGAAATATCAGGAGACCTTGCTGGCCAATTTACTGTATGATTTAGGTCAATAACGTTTCCGTTAAAATTATTGTCTAAATATTCCCGAACAGCCAGGGTATACTATGTGCCGGGCAGCCATCCATTTGGTACCAAACTTCCTGATTTTCCCTAGCGGCATCATATAAAGCAGGTAAAATATGATTTTCTAGTAGTTCACAACCAAACCAAACCAAACCAAACCAAATAATATTCTGCATTTAAATTTGGCGTAAGAAATAATGGTACGATAATATTGTGTCCAAATATCCCTGCCCAAACATTTACTTTCTGTGGATATTGCGTCCTTGTTTCGACAAACCTGTGTTGGTTTTCTTTTAAAATTTTGAACATTGGGTTCATTATTTAAGGTAAACGTGCATTCGTCAGTGAAACATATGTTTTTTTTTAAATTCCCTATCCGTGTTTGTTCTTTCCATCATATCAAAACAAAACGCCTGCCGCCGTATTTCGTCCCCATCTCGAAGCTCTTGGTGCTTTTCATATTTGAAGGAATAGTATTTATGCCGTTTGAAAATTCAAAACGTTGAAGTGTGATCTATTCCTATTTCATCCTCAAGTTTCCTTGTGCTGATCTTTCCATCGTTCTCTTCCACGCACAATAAAACTTCCAAGTCGGTATCATTTCTTGCATCTTCTCTTTGTTCCTGCCTTGCTTCACATCTGCAGTTATTTATTAGGGTACCTTTGGTCTCAAATCTCTGGATATTCCTTGCGATTGTAAATTTTCCAGGTATCGGTCTATTCGGATAGCAAACATGTCCGACACCTTTTGATAACTATTTCCTTGATAATACTATTTAATCATCAATACTTTTTCTTCGGTAGTGTAATTCGTGGCTAATATTGTCGATGTAGGTATGAGTTTTTAATAATAATAATAAAGCACTAAATAGATAAATTTCTGAAATGGCAACTTCATTTAACAGTTATCTTTTACCTTGACTGGTGCTCATAAGTAAATACAGGGCCATAAGAAAGGATAAATATTTAAAAAGAAATCGGCGATAACTCGTAAACGGGCTAATCAAAAATATCTAAAGTTATTCTTTTGAATGTGGGTTTTAGTGCTCTTCAATAAACCTAAATAGAATTATTCTCTAAAATAATTAGGGAAGCCAATAATTGACCCCATTAAAATTTACATGGGATTTCCTATGTCCCGCTCGACGATGCAACACCCGGTATAATTACAAGGAACTATCCAATTTCCTGTACCTAATGATTTCACAACTATGTCAAAATAGCGTGAGAAATTAATTTATGAACACTCATGTTACAAAATGATTAATACGTTATTAAATCTTTAGAATTTTTGCCGGATGCACTTGCCACCAACTGCGGAAATTGTTCACCGAGCAGACAAGAGAAATATGACAAGATTCTAACGTTTTTGGCGAAGAATAAGAAAGTCTCTTGGCATGAACTAACCGTCAAGTATGATCCCACTGGAGAGTACCGGTTGCAATACAAGGAGAGCAGAGGAGTCGATCTCGACAGCTTGTAATTTAGAGTTGTAGCTCTACTATTGTATATAATAATGATAAAAACTGTAGAAATAAAATCCAAAACCTTTTAAAGTTACATTGAATACTTTTTTATTCGCTCATGTTTACCAACTATTGTTCTGGTAGATGCTATGACGCTAATTTATTCCATTCCGTGAAGTAAAATACAGTATGATCGAAAAAAAACGGCGTGCAGTTGCTTGGAAATGACGATCGATGACATTTCCCATATAAGTCTGCATTAGTGATTTTGATTTTCGTTACTTTTGATTACTCGTTACGAATCGTTACTCGACTACTAATAGTGGAGTGCCCAGAGACTTTTATCTCGGAATTCAATTACTTTGAATGTATTAATGTGAAACCTTCTATACTGTGTTTTATAGATAAAACACTAAAATGTTTACCCATTTTTTTTTTTCGTTACTTTTAATTTTTTATTTTAGTAATTTTAGTAAATTCTGAATTATTTCCTTCTTAATATTTTGATTTTTTTAATTCTTTTTCTAAATAAATTTATTGAAATAAATAAATCTAATACATAAGCTATACCTATTCTGCTTATATTCTAATCATTGAAATTTTGATTGAAATTGAATTATACAGGGTGGCGCGTCATATACGACGCGGTTTTTGCAAGGAGAACAAAAGTTTGTATTGAAGTGAAATTTTCTGAGCTTATGTGAGTTAATTTAAAGTATTTTCTAAAATTATGTAGAGTTCTACAGGGTGTCCGCAAAAAAAGTTACACATCAAAGTTATGTTTTTTGTAATGGAACACCCTATATATTAATAGATTTTTGGATTCTAGTAAAAAAATAAAGGTTTGTTTCATTAGAAAAGTATATGACTAAAATGTATAGTTTTTGAAATACATTCACCGACACGAAAAATGGGCACCTTAAAACTTTGATGTATTTTAAAGGTTAATATATTTTCTTTTAATGGGCCGATTTTGATAATTTTTTAAGCAATGTGTTGCCAAATTATTTGACTTCTTAGTATCTTTTTCTAAATTAAAAATGAAACTCCCCATCTGTTAATTATACGAGGGAAACCAAAATGTTGATATTTTTGATGAAAGTTTGAAACACCCTGTAAAATATGTTAAAACAGCAAGAAATTTAAAAATTATGTTATCATCTAGATACATCCTTTCTCGATGGTTTGTTTTTTGCTTCATCTCATTAGCTTTATTTTTGTTGGAAATATTCGGTTTTAAAGAAGGCACTAACATTTTTCGTAATTTTTACATTAAGACCATGCCTTTGCTTTTGGGCCTAGTCAACATATCTAGCAAGTTCTGGTCCCGTAGCAGGCCTACTTGACATAAGATTTGCTTCATTTAGTATTCTTCTTGTAGTCCGTTACTTAATATGTACGGTTCTTAAGTGCAATTCGTTATCAATTTGAAAAGCTGGCAAACGGCGGTTTCTTAGCGATAAACTTACAATAAGTCGATCGTCTCGATTAGAAGTTCTCATACGAAGGTTTCTGGACGTCTATATTGACGTCCTCATGGACGTGATCATAATTCAAAGACCATTTAATATACTCTATGGTATTAAGGTATTTTTGGAACCAGAATTTTATAGCAAATTCACTAAACTCGAATAAATAAATGATATATATTTGACTCACCCCGTATATCTATAAAAATATTTTTGAAATGCTACTATTAAATATATATATATATATATATATATATATATATATATATATATATATATATATATATATATATATATATATATATATATATATATATATATATATATATATATATATATTATATAAAAAGGCTTGGAGTGAAAATCTCAGATAGGAATCCTGATACAGATCTTTTCCGGAAAACGGAGCCATCTTGTATGTATGCATTTGTATATGTGTATGTTTATTTAAATACTAAAGTGAAAGCAACGAATTTAAATAGGTAAACTTTGTAATATATCTTATTAACAATACAATGCAAAAAGTTTTATAAAAATTCGTTCACAGTAAATGAATTCGGAGGTTTGTATCTCATAAGGGCTTAAAGCACTCTACTATAAGTAATAATTTCAGATAATCGTTACTTTGATTACTATGATTACTTCTTATATTTTAATATTTAATCATATATAATATATGATTTTGGTACTGATGTCAATTTTGTCAACTATTGTCAACCTTTGTGTCTAATTTCACCTGCTTAAGGGATATATTTTCAAAAATAGATTCTTCCTACCCACTTTTTTCATTTAATGGACTCTCTGTGTATAAATTTAATACTTCTAGAACCATAACAATTTTTTGTACAAATATTCAAAAGTTCATTTGTACAAAATTTCACCCCTATTTTCACTCTCTTAGGGGATTTTAAAAATCGTTTCATAGTACTTACTTCATAGAACTTTCATAGTATATCACTTAAGGGCACAAAATTTTATATATAATAAATCTTCATACTACTAAAATATTTTTTCTGAAAATTCACCCCTCATCTCACACCCTTAAAAGGCGAATTTCTAAAAATGGATCTAAAGAAACTTCTACGCAAACTTTCATACTTCTAAAACCCATTATAATAAATTTTTGAAATAATTTTCACCCCTTATTTCCCCTCTTTGGAGGTGAGTTTCCAAAAAAACGCTTCGCCACTTAAGAAATCTCTATTCAAAATATCATACCCCTAGGACTAATTTTAAAAAAATATATACAAAATTTCACCACGTATTTTACATTATTATTTTACTATTATTTACTATTATTACTATTTACATTATTACTATTATTTACAACCTAACCTAACCTAACCAAACCAAACTTTACCCTCGTAGGGAATAAATTTTCAAAAATCTAGTATCCACTTTCGTCAATTTGTATTTAAAAAAATACAAATTTCCAACCCTAGTTTCGGTAGTTTCACCCTCTGAAAAGTTGAATTTCCGAAAATCGCTTCTTAGTGTTCAATTACATTTTATTATTCTCTCTTAAGGGAATAAAATTAGGGGTAAATATTGTAAGTATAAAAAATTAAAAAAATATGTCCTAGAACTATGAAATTTTACACAGAGGTCTTTAAAGGGGTGAAACTACTGAAAATAGGGGGGAAAATTTAACTATTTATAGTATTTATCATTTAATCTATCTTATCGTAATATGTAATCGTATCCCTAATATGCTTAGTATTATATCCTAAATGTAATCAAATGACGAATTCTACGAAAATATAATAATCGTATAATAGTATCTAGGGTATTTGGAAAATACCCTAGATACTATTATTTGTAAAATAGGGTATTTGGAAAATAACCTAGATACTATTATACGACTATTATGTTTTCGTAGAATTCGCATTTGATAACATTTTTACAATGCAATACTATACACATTACGTATAAGTACGACCCATTATAAATACTACAAGTAGTAATAGTAATCAAAGTAACTGTATGGCTTTAAATTCGGTACCTTTTACTTCGGATATAGATGAGTAACGAGTAGTTACATTTTCAACATCCCTATTTTACATTTAAAATTAAAAACGATCTTCATTTCATAGCCATCGCTGACGCCTTTTTTTCGATCATATTGTAGTATTCGCCATCACACATAATTTTAAACTTAAATATTTATTATTATAACTTTATTATTTCAATTCAAACGATTTCATCGGCTGAATCTTCAACTTTTCAGCTAATTTGGCACATGATATACGTTGATCTTGAATATATCTCAATCCACCCTGACTATCGACTTGAGCCATGTGTATTCTTTCTGGATCACCAGGCACTAGGACTGGTTTAGTTTTGTCTTTCTAAAATTATAGCGAAATTGATAATAAAACTAGGATTGCCAAAACTAAGACTTACTGGTTCTGTGTTTCTAACTAAGCCTAACAAATCTGACAGCCTGTCTTGGAAACCAGGTGCAAATACTTCTGGATTGATTGCAATAAAGGTTTGTCCTAAGTTGGAGGTTTCCACGCCACCGAACATTGGGACGTTAGTGCCATAATTTGAGCCTAAAAGTAAGCATTAATCTTAAATAATAAAAACAATATTGATTATGATGAAGTGTTAATAATTATCAACTTATTAATATTCGACGCTAGAGATCTAAGAAAAAAATAATACTCATTCTCAGCATATATACAGGGTGAGTTTATTTCGATGTTCTCTATGGGTATCTCGGGATTCTAAAAGAAAAATAAAGGTGAGTTTTATTAGAGAAATATATGACTAAAATATAAGTTTTTGAAATATTTTACATTTTCTATATAGTAGTATAAAATAAAGAACAAATTTTAAATTTCAATAAAAGCTACCTAAATTGGAATTGGCGCGTTACAGCTTAATATTTAGTTCAAAGAAGTATTGTACTTTAAATCAAATTAAAACTTGACCCAAACAGTCATACAGGGTGAGATAAAATTAATATTGAACGTTGGTCGCCTTTAAAAGCAATTTACTCTTTTATTTTAAATGGAACATTATTTCGATATTCAATGGGGAAGTTATGTCTCTTTAAAATACTATTAAGGTTGCCGAACAAGATTTTCCTAGTAATTTTAGTGTCAGTAGATCATTATTATTTGATAAAATCTCGGTTGCTGTGATATGCCGAACGATACTTCAACATGGCTGTCAAATTAATTCAACTTTAACAATTAGTTAAATCATCAATCAATTAGTCAATCATTTCGTGTCACTTAAAACAAAAAAAATTCTCAGAAATCGGCCGTAAATGGAAACATATCCTACATCAGACAGAATTGATTTATGATTCTATTAATTGATGATCTCAGTGTACATTCACCAATGCATAAAATGCTTAACTGCTTCTGATTTACCTAGTCTGGGCTTTTTATGGAGATATATTAAAAACTCAGTGTTTACTAACTCGACCATCCATTGTCAACCTGAGAGAAATGATTGTGGCTGCTTTTTGGTAGTAACATCCATACACATAGAAAATTTTAGCATGCAAAAATATTTTCCAAGAAAAAAGAGAATCATTTTATGCAGTGAATAGGTATGGAAGCATTTTTAGCATTTGTTTACATCTAGCTAACTTTTGTCACATAATTATACCTTTATAGTTACTTTTATTTCTCGAAATATCGTAACAAAATACGGGGTGTTTCCTTCTATACCCTGCTAGTAAGCGAAACCTTGAATCGGCGCGGCGCGGCGTTTACATTTATAGAAGTGAATCGCTATGGCAATCTAGTAAGTCGGAGAGAGCAAAAATACGAAGTATTTATTTCATAACCACTTAATCTGACGCTAGATTCTATGCGCTTGGGAAAATACTTCCTTTCTGTCTTTATTCAGTACCGGGTGGCCAATTAAGAATGGACGCCGGCTGTATCTCAGAAACTACATATCGTATAACTTTGGGAAAAAAATTCTGATAAGTAAATCGACCAAGAGAAATCGCTGAAAATTATTTTCAAGTTCGAAAAATGCCCGCTAGGGGGCGTTTCTCTAATAGCCAATCAGAAAACAGTTTTTTTCTCAAAAATATGCAGATGAACAGGTATTTTAAATATTACTATTGTAATCATCGAGAAATTTGTAATTTTTTGGTATACAGTATTTTCTTTATCTCACAAAATAAAGTGGTGGGGGAAGGTTAAATTTGCTGTTATTAAAATAAGGATAACTCGGGTTTGGGTTACGCGATTTAAACAAACTAGGGCTCGTTTAAAAGCGCGTTTCTTCCTTAATGATCTCCAGTATAAATTTTGTTTCCATAATTTTTTTCGTGGTAGCTAGAGGGCGCTGTTTGACATCATAACAGATATTGCGCTTTTGCGTAAAAATTTTAAATAGGAGGCTATATTTCCCTTTGCACAGTTAAATAGAGCTCAAAATTTCCAAAATATCAGTGCAAACCGCAACTTTCTATCTTCTCTCTAACTGAAGATATTAAGATAACAAATCATGTTAGTCTGCCGCTTAGGATTATATGGTCTAAAAATTATAGTAGTAGGCTAGGAAACAAAAAGAAGTAAATTGGTTACATCAAAATATCAAAACATATATTTTAATTTCATTTTAATACCATTTAATTGTTATTTATCCATGTTCGTTCTTGATTCGACCCCATAATTTAAAACCCGGGCATATTGAATCCGATGACCCAGCTGGCCATGGAAAAATGCCGTTCCAGCGTCTCTATCTACTAAAGTAAGTAGTATCCAGGAAGCCCCACACATTCATAGCAAAATAAGCGGCTCCACTGCCTCAACTATACCAACTGCATTCATGCTGATGAAATTGCAACAAATGCCCGCTAGGGGGCGTTTTGTTAGAGGATCCATCATGATGGATCCTCTAACAAAATTGGCAAGTAATTTCTTAGAAATTATGGATAATATACATTTATTTTTTTCTTTTTTTTTTTTTTTATATATACATTTCATTCAGATATTTAAAAAAGTTCAATCATTAACCAGGAAATTCGTAAAAATTATATGGATGGATGATAATGTTACATAAACACGTTTAAATAATTATGACGTCATTTTTTTAAGAAAACGCCCGAAATTCGGATGCACGAAAACTGAACTTAAACGTTTTGATATTTTGACGTAACCAATTTACCTTTTTTTGTTTCCTAGCCTACTACTATAATTTTTTGACAATACAATCCTAAGCGGCAGCCTAACATGATTTGTTCTCTTAGATCTCAGGTTAGAGAGAAGATAGAAAATTGCGGTTTGCGCTGATATTTTGGAAATTGTGTGCTCTATTTAACTGTGCAAAGAGAAGTATAACCTCCTATTTAATTTTTTTACGCAAAAGCGCAATATCTGTTATGATGTCAAACAGTGCCCTCTAGCTACCACGAAAAAAATTGTGGAAACAAAATTTATACTGGAGATCATTAAGGAAGAAAAGCTCTTTTAAACGAGCCCTAGTTTGTTTAAATCGCGTCACCTAAACCAGAGTTTTATCCTTATTTTAATAAATATGGGTTTAACCTTTCCCCACCACTTTATTTTATGAGATAGAGCAAAATACTTTATATCAAAAAAATTACAAATTTGTCGGTGATTACAACAGTAATATTTAAAATACCTGTTCACCAGCATATTTTTGAGAAAAACCCTGTTTTCTGATTGGCTATTAGAGAAACGCCCCCTACCTGGCATTTTTCGAACTTGTAAATAATTTCCAGCGATTTCTCTTGGTCGATTTACTCATTAGAATTTTTTTCCCAAAGTTATACGATAAGTAGTTTCTGAGATACAGCCGGCGTCCATTCTTAGTTGGCCACCCTGTATATCTTATTTTGCTAAGCGTGTTGACCGTACTCTTCGTACATACGAACATCCGCACCTAATACCAGAAATGCCAGACCTAGTATACTAGGTGTGTAATAGGGTGGTAGTTAAAAATTATTTTTTTCCGGCGCCCCAAACGATTCTTCCTTTTGACGAAAAACTACAGGGAATATTTTTGGTTTAAAACAATAAGAACACGTGTCGACGGCCAAATAAATTGCTACAAATTGCTACTTCAATGGCCACATATTCATAGAAAACTTCAATTGGCACGTGTTCTTTGTGTTTAAAACCAAAAAAAATCCCGTTTTTCGTCAAAAGGAAGAATTTCTGGGGGCGCCGCGCCGCTCCGGCAGCGCCGGAGAAAATAAATAAATAAATTTTAACGACCACCCTAGTGTGTAACTTGCTTTTAAATGTAACCAATGTTCAATATTAATTTTATTTCACGTTAACGTTTCGGGTCAAATGGTCCCAAAATTTCAATTCGATTCAAACTACCGTTCCTCTTAGGAGCCTCGGCGTGGTATGATAAGTGCCACCCTGTGTTGCTGGAAGCTTAACAATAACACTTTTTATCAGATCATGGCAAAATATAGTTTTCGATTAAAAAAAGAGGTCTCGTTTAGGATGTGATTGTCTTCAACTTTTACCTAAAATCTTGTCTAAAATCCATTCTAACGGAAATAGGGAATATATTTAGAAAATAGCCAATTTTTTTTTCGAAATATCTACTTGAGCCACGTATATTCTTTCTGGATCTCCAGGCACTAGGACCGGTTTATTTTTGTCTTTCTAAAATCAACGAAATGGATAATAGAAATATTATTACCAAAACTAATATGGTTCTTATCTAAAAAAATAGGATTGCCAAAAACAAATCTGGTTTTCGTTTAAAAAAAAGAGGTATCGTTTAGGCTGTGATTGTCTTCAACTTTTAACTAAAAACTTGTCTATAAAATCCATTATAGCAGAATTAGGGAATATATTCAGAAAATAACCAATTTTTTTTTTCGAAATATCTAGTATTAAGCCACAAACTTTTTCAAAAATTAGGGTGTATGATATATCAAGGTGTATAAATTTGATCTCACAAAATTGAATTATTTTCCCATTTGACCGACCGTAGTAGTAGTTTCCGAGATACCCATAGAGAACATTGAAAGAAAATCACCCTGTACATACAAATTCAACAAAATTACCTGAAAAAATTCCAGACATTACATCAACTAGTAAGCTTAGTCCATAACCTTTGTAACCACCATTTTCTTCCTCGCCTCCCAGAGGTAAAAGCTTACCAGATTTCATTCCAACTGATGGATCTGATGTCACGTTACCATCATTATCACAAGCCCAACCTTTTGGAATAGACTCACCTTTTCTTTTTTTGATCTCTAACTAATAAAAGAGTCCAAGAGACATTTATAACAACCTTCATTGAAATGTAAGTACCTATATTTACTATTGACATTGCATCATTTTTATTCTATATTTGCCTAAATGCTTACTTTTCCTACAGCTACAGTGGTAGTGGCCATATCCAAAACAACTTGATCATGTGCATTTCCAGCTCCAAATGATAATGGATTTGTTCCCAGCGCAGACTATAACATCAAACTAATACTTATTTTTTATACAAGACGATAAAATGGTATTTTATCGTGGACCGAAAAGATTAATTCACGGGCAATGAAATCGCGAGTGAATTAATTTCGGGAGACGATAATGCAATTTTATCGTCGTGTATAAAACAATATTTTTTTCCATAGCGAGTTACGTTTTAAAAAATATTCAGAAACTATAATTTCAAGGAATTTATTACGAGCAGAAAAAATATTGTGCTGGGTTGACGTTGGTTTCTATGTAATTTGACAAATAAATAAAGCTATCTCTTTAGTTGTCAGTTTTGAGTCAATATTTTTTAATTCTTTTACGTGTCGATTGCTGATTGAATTGGAGCCAGAAATGGCTCAAAACGAAATAAGTAAATTACCAACAGATATTCAGTCTGAGGCGACAAACGCCATATCCAAACTACTTCCATTTAAATCCCGAATAACTTGTATAAAAAAATGGAAGCAATTAAAAAACGTGCGAGAAGAAATAAAGTTTTTAACCTATCCTCGCTGTTAAAGTATCATATAATCTACCCTTGCGGTTAAAGTACTATTTTATCTACTATTTTTGATAGATATGAGGCAATTTTAACAGTTGCTATGGAAAAAAGTATATTATTTACGGCATATTTCAAAATAAGCATACAATACTGGCACATGATAACAATATATTTACTTGTCTTCCTCGAGTAGGAAGCATTACAGGTGACGTGTTCGTAAAACAAATACCGACACAGTTCTGCTTCATCGCTTGAAGTGAATATATTCCAGCTATACCAAAATGATTAGAACCTGGAACACAGAAACTCTTATTATTCAAAAAATCGTTTAATAATGAAGATAAGTACCATAAGCTGTAACCATGCTAATTCCTACATCTTTGGCTTTCCTTATAGCCAGATCCATACAAAATTTTCCGACCACAGATCCCAAACCATTATTGCCATTTACTAACGCTGTAGCTACTGTTTCTCTTTCTACTGCTGGTTCAGCGTTGGGGTTGCATGATTTGTTCAGAATTACGCTGATGTACATTTCTACAAGAAAAAATGTTCCAAACAAAAAAAAAATATTTGTTCGTAATTTGAAGACCTTGAGAAGTCTGATCTTGATAATAAGTCTAATCTCAGACTTACATTACTTATATTTTAAGTTGGTATCTTATAACTATTAAACTTAAAGAATACCAGAAAAATGCAAAACATGGAAAGACGACAAAATCACGCATTGCCCAACGCATATAGATTAACTAATAGGTACTACACGATTTGTTCAGGCACAGAATTGTTAGGAAATGAACCAAATTGAAAAAAAGAAAAGTTTAAAAAGGCTACATACAGGATGGCGCCTCTTATTAGATGCGGAGGCTCAAAGGAGAACGACAGTTTGTATTGAAATTAAATTTTGTGAGCAATGAAATAGAAGTTCACACTTGATAACGGTCAGTGATACTTCTGACCAAAACGTTGTGTCAGCGAAATAAAGACAATGAAAGTCCGAAACTCTTTTAGTTTTAATATGTAGTTTAATTTAGACCATTTTTTTAAATTATAAAGAGTTATACAGGTTGTCTCCAAAAAAGCTACATATCAAAGTTGTGTTTTTTGTAATGGAACACCCTATATATTAACTGATTTTCAGATTCTATGAGAAAAGTAAAGATGAGTTTCATTAAAGAAGCATATGCATAAAATGTAAGGTTTTTGACATATGTATGTACCATGAATATGCTTTAAATTTCAATAATAGCTCCCTAAATTATAATTTACCCTGTTTAGCCAGAAATTTATTTAAAACCTATTACCTATAGCCATTGCCATTTATTACCTATAGCCAATTGTAGTTTAAACGAAATTAAAGTTTGACCCAGAAAGTTACACAGGGTAAGACAAAATTAATATTGAACATCGGTCATTTTTAAAAGCAAGTTGCTCTTTTATTTTAAATGAAACACCCAGTATATTATCCCGATATTCAATGGGGAATAAATGTTTCTTCAAAATACTGTTCAGATTGCCTACCCTTCAAACAATGAGTTTCCAAGATATTTTCATTTTTATGATTTAGTGTCAGTAGATCTTTATTATTTGATAAAATCTACGGTATGTCCCCGGATTTTGTCTTTTCAAGAGGAAAAACTTCTTTTATTATTGACATTTTGAGAAAAAGCATTCTTCATACAAAATTTTTGCTGGTCCTAAAATGGGTAATTCCGTTTATACTTTTTCAAATTTCCATACCGTTTTAGGGAAAATTAAGAAGAAAAATTCCTAGAAAGTCATAAAAATCAAAACGCGTTTCGATGGTAATATAATTTCAATTTCATTCTTTGATATATTGTTATTGATAAAATTTTAAAAGGGTGATAATACTTATCGAAAAATGTGATACTTTAACAATAGCAAAGTACATGATGTTAACCAAAATTAATAACCTATCTATCAAAGAATAAAATCTAAATTATATTACCAGAGAAACGCCTTTGATTTTTAGGACTTTGATAAAATGATTTTGATATTTTCATGTTTTTTTTTAATTTTCTCTAAAAGGATATGGAAATATTGAAAAGTATAAACGGGATTAACCATCTTAAAACAAGCAAAAATTTTGTCAATATTAAAAAAAAGGCTTTCCTCTTGTAAAGACAATCCGGGGACATACTGTACATAGCTGTGATTCGCCTGATGTTACTTCAATAAAGCTGACAAATAAGTTCAACTTTAACAACTTGTTATCATTTGGTGTCAGTTAAAATAAAAATTCTGAGAAATTTGCTGAAAATGAACACGTATCCTATATCAGAGAGAATTGATATGATTCTATTAATTGGTGCCTGCAGTGTGCATTTACCAATTAATAGAATGCTTAAATGCTCCTGATTTATCTAGTCTGCACTTTTGGATGTGAAAGTTAATTATAGATAGGAAATTTATTTTCGATTGACAAAGATGAATCATCTATACAGGGTGTCCCAGAAATAAGTGCAAATATTTTAACTGGTAGTAGAGTTAAACCCTAGAAACACGCCTATGAGGTTTTTTTGCGAAAAAAAAAATTAAAATTCGAAATTTTTTGAAAATTTTTTTGGAAATTTTTTTAGTTTTTAGTTAAAAAACATAATTTCATGATAATATGAAAACATAGGTATTAGATTAAATTTACAAGAAAGAAAAACCAGAAAAGATCCAGTGGTTCTCAAAATTTTAGCAAAAAATCTTTTTTTTTTGGAAATTTTCAAAGTAAAATAACTCCGTTATTTTGGACTTATTTGAAAAACGATAAAGAGAAAATATGTTTCTTTTATCGAGATCTACCACCCCTTAAAATATTTGCACTTATTTCTGGGACACCCTGTATATCTAGCTATTTGTTATATCCTTACAAATCTGTGTAGTTCAGTCATTGGGGATTTTTCCTTTCAAAAAAGTCCGGAAGTTTTGCAACTTTGCAGGTTTATAGGTTTTGGGGTCCCTAACTAAAATCCATAAAATGAACATTTCCAAACACCGCCGGCGCCGCCATCTTGCCAAGATGGCGCCCAAAATCGGTATTTTGTAAATATCTCGAAAACTATGCGTTCTTCGCAAAAATTTGAGGAGAGAAAAAATAAAGAGAATGAAATTTTCTATAAAAAAGGTTCTATGAAAATTTTCGCTAAAGTCAACCGTTTAGGCACAAAATCCCTGGAAATTTTACAATTTTGCGTAAAATATGATATATTATGTTTAATCGATTTTCCGAAATCAAAGGTCGATTAGGGTTCACTAAAACTAGTTTTAGTTTAGTTTCTTCAATTTTGTCATGAAACAGTGGCGTATCATTAATTCGCTTATTAATTTATGAATAATTAATTTTAATTATTGAAAATGTACGTACTTGTTTCCACACCACCCAAGAGGTAAAGTATATGGGGCGTTTATTTTAACGTGGTCTCGCCGAAGGCCTATTCCACTAGGTAAATTAAAAACTTTAACTTATCTGCACAAGCCCGACGGACCTGGCTCATTGATTTAAAGACGATCGTATCTGCTGTGCTGGGCTCATCAGGGTGGTCTCTCAGTTCGTTCAACTCTTCATCTTCAGCCGCCAGAGGGATATCTACAGGCAAGTCCAACTCCTCTTCATCGGACTCGTCGAGTGACACTTCAGTGATGTTGTCACAGGATTTCCCATTGCAGTATGCACATATCATTGAACATTTTAATCCTGCTTTTCTGCATCCACAGGCTTTACCACAGTTGTTGGTTTTGCATTTACAGGATAAAAATGCCAGTAGGGATTTTGGAGCTGGATCTGTCAAGGTTGTGAGTGGAGTAATGCCTGTTTTTGTTTTCTTCCAACCCCATTCTTTGGCATCTTTGGTACAACCAGACCAATGCTGAACCTGGTGGTAAGTTCGCAATGAATGCTGTCCAGCACGACAATTAATTATTCATAAATTAATTATTATTATATTAAATGAATTAATGACACACTACTGTTTTGGAAAAACTAAACTAAAACTAGTTTTAGTGAACCCTAATCGACATTTGATTTCGGAAAATGAAAGGAAGCGAAGAAAATGAATTTGCCTTAATTGGTTCTTTTATAGAAAATCCAATATATCTACAAGTCATCGTAATATAAATCAAAGAACTACTTGTTTATTTTTCTTGACATAATAATAAATGCTTACTTACTAAACTGTTGTAGGTAAATTAAATAAAAAGTAAACTGTTATAAATTTAAATAAAGTCCATAAATTAATGTCGATTTTGAAAATAGCTACTAAGTGTTACTAGAAAATTGTCATGGCGACACCAGCCATCTTGATTACAGTTTTATTGAAAAATCGTTTTTTTTTTCAAAATCTGAGCCAGATAGGTATAGAAAACCCTAATGTAGTTTGAAACAGTATTTAAATCTACTTCGACTTATTTAAAAAAAATACATAGTGTTGCATTTGAAACAACGAAGTTTTTATGTAAAATAAACAGCAATGAAGATACCCAGACAAACCAGCAATTTTTGATAGCCCTGTATACATTTAAGGAAGCAATCAAATTTTCTAGTTAAGTTTATTTCTCTGGTTTGAAAATCAGAACCAGAATTAATTCTGAAAAGTAATGTACAAGGTGTTGACAAACCTTTTTAGTATAGCATGTATATTTAAATATCTTTAAATATCACAAAAACCAATGCTTTTAGACATAACAAACCCTTATAATAAATGCCTTATTTTATGTCCAAGAATGTCAAAGTATTTTCGATTGATAAAGATGAACCATCTATATATCTAGCTATTTGTTATATCCTTACAAATCTGTGCGATTCCTTATAATTAAATGATATCACCTAGTCTGTTTAAACCATGACTGTAATGCCCTCGATAATCCGCTGTCACAAGATTTTCCGCAAAAATTTTAGCATATTCTTCTTTCGTCCCCACTGCTTTTAAACAATCGACGATAAAACGATTGACTTCATTTAAAGGAGTAACCAAAACAACTTCTGCTAAAATAATTATTTTTTTTTAAAATAAATAATTGTTTAATAAAATAAAAAATACTACTTACACATTTTGCCTTCAGTGCATGTAAAATGTCAATTGATGTTTAGTTAATGTTTCACTTTATAATTAAAAACACAATAATGGAATATTCTTATCTTAATCCTTTTAATAAACAGTCTTAAGCTTAACATATTTATAGGTTTGACTTTAAGTTCTTATCATTTAACATTCAATGATTAAACAGTAAAAGTGAGTAGCTTTTAATTTTCTATATGCATAAAAAATATCTTCCCAACGTAAATGTAAATAACGTCTATACTACTGTGATGTATTCATCTCTTCATTCTTTTTTTGTATTACTAATGTAATATTAACTAATATAGAATTCGTATCACACCAAGTAAAATAAATTTGTTGAAACGTAAATTTTACATGAAAGCAAAATTTACTGAGTATAAACGGTAAACTTTGACTAAACTAACCTATGGTAGGTCCACATCAAATATAAAATGTGTATGTAATATAAAACATCTCAAAAATGAGCTCTCCTCTTAGAAATTGATGAGATCTCCTATGGTCACATTATTAAGTTCAAATCCACCGAAGGTGAAAAAAATAAATAGGCAATAAACAAACAAATTCAAAATAATGTAGGGTAAAGTGAAGTAAGCGTATTAAGTAAACAATTTATATTTTGAAATTTTATAGAATAGTTTAAAAATATTATGGATAAAACCGAAGTAGGTAAAAATGTATAATACTTTTTTAACACTTCTCTCTCGTTTTTCACTCTAACTTCAAAAATAATTTTAATGTTTACTATTTTACATCAAAAAATCATCAGTTATCACGATAGTCTGCATTAGCTACAACCATAAAACAGAATAAAAGTCGTGATCACTTAACGTAAAGTATCACGGTATCAGTTGATACGATAACCTGCATTAGTTATATAAAAGAATGTAGAATGAGTGGAAAACTCAATAAAGTGTTAATCACCGCGACCTTAAAGATCTATTGTGTCCCCATTTCTTGATTTATAACTCATCACACATGGGGAACTTCCTGTTGTAGGGGAGAAAGCTTATTTCCCATCCTCCTCTGAAAACGAATGTTCATCCTCCAAGAAGTGGGTATTTACCTCCTACGCAGGTATACACCCTTCTACGGTTACGGTTTTTCCATCCGTGTCCTTCACAGTCGAGGAGCTTGTCTCCGGCTGAGATACGCGTAAGGTGGAGGCTGGAGGATCTCTTCGTTTTATCCACCTCTAACTTGGTCTCTCCTTAGGACTGATACCAGCGTTTTCTCGAATCTATAATAGAGAATATATCCCTCTATCTATAGCACACGGATGCAACTCATTGTGAATCAGTTTCAATCAGTTGGTGTAGTATTCAATTTAAATAAGTTTAATTGTTTCTTACTTCTTAAACCTTTAGATAATATCCATATATGTTTTTTTTTTCTTTTCTTGAGTTTGGATTGATTGTCTGTATTATTACAGATCCAGACTGGTGCTAGCAAGGCGACTTCAAGAATAAAGTGCCTGAAAAAGCCCACTATGTTGGAGCAAAACGTCGCATAAAAAAAAGTTTCCATCTTTTCAATTTATTTAAAAAAACTCCATACCCATGAAAAGGAAAAAAATATATGAATTTAAATTAGTTACTATGTCAAACTTCGAGTATTCGGACTCAGATGATCAAGACATAGTTAAGTATTATCAATACCAGACAACGCAGAACCAAGACAACGCAGAACTCAGACGAAATAAAAAAAACAAGCAACTTTTAAAATACAACACAACTGCGACGCGACGGCGGGAAAGGATCGCGAACAACAGATCTGCGACTGATTGCAAAATAGTCCCGTTTGAATCGATTCGTGTGCAGCTTCACATTACTATATGTTCCCGAGGTTGCAAAATAGTTGCAAGCGCAACTGATTTTCAACTTTTATCACAAAACAGTCGCACTGTGGGCGCTGGGGCTTATAGTCATAGAACAGATTGAAAGTCTGTAATCACGCAAGTTATGCTTTTAAATCACCCATATTAAAAATCGCGGTAATCAAATGCCACAATGGTCTGCATTAGCTACAATCATGGAACGGATTAAAAGTGGTGATTCCGTCACTCTTAAGAATCCCTCATATTAAAAAATTACGGTAACAGTTATCAATATTTAAAAATCACTGTGTCACTCATCCCTAATCTAATCTAAATCCTAAAACTACTGAGCTTATTTACTAGAGCAATCCATTCACTCGAAAAATGTTGTGTACAGTAAAGCGAAAGGTTGTCCAGCATTTGTCTGTTTGAGAAATGGTTCAAAATTGTGAAAATCTCCATATTTGGATTGTTAGGGATGTTTTTAATGTTTGATATAAAAAGAAATTCTTTAAATTTACGCTTTTTTTCGTGAGATTCCATGTGGACAAATCGAGCTTCCGGCCACTTTATATTGTGCTATTTGGACTACAATATCTGGCTTCATTGTTTTACTTTTGTACAAGTTGATTGTTCGTTAAATAGTACGTGTAGTGGATGTTCTGTCTGTCCAATAAACGACTCACCCTTGGTATATTCTTTGGACTCACCGCATTCGCAAGTTGTGTCAATTTTACAAGTTTTTGTCAAGACGTTTCTTAAAGACGTTCTAGATCTGAAAATACTTTTAATGTTGCATTGTTTAGTTATTTGCCTGATAAGTTTCCAATGTTCATTTTACATATGGAATAATTCAAACAGTGATCTCAGACTAGTCAAAGGGCTAGTGCACCAATAAGTAACTATTCTGAAGTAAATCCTTTTTAGTACTATTTAATTCAGGATTAGGTAATGCTTGGTCACAGTACATGGTAAGTATTTACTCGATGTCATAAGGATTTAATAATAATTTCTTCCTAGTGGCATCAGAATGGTTTGACTGAAACTATAAATATTGTCCCATGTGTGTCGGTTTCCTATACCGGGTGGTGCATCTTCATTGGTAACAAGAAATTCCATGCAAATGTTGAACTGTCCAAAGATTGGCTTTCCTGTTGGTTTTGCAGCAAGGACGTACATAAATTTTTGAAAGGTATGGGTATGCTAAATACACAAGCAAAATTTGAATATTTTTTTTTAATTTTAACAAGCCGAGTTGAACTAATTTGGGAAATTAAAACAACTTTCGTTGCACGTCATCAATGACACCATGCGTCGTCTTATGGAGTTTGCTGGTGGTCGTATTATGATGTGCAACGAAAGTTATTTTAATTTCCCTAAAACTGAACAGGTACCAATGCAAAACCAGACAAATACCAACATATGTTAAGTTGTCAACCTATGATTTAGTTATTGTATGGTATGGATCAAGTATGAATATTGTCAAATTGGACTGCCCAAACTATATATTTTTGTCTAATTAAAACATTTTTTTTATCATCTAAAATTGCCATTATGACTCACTAATAGAAGGTAATATGATGTATCCGTGTACACAACATAACAAATTGCATTTGCATAAATACTAGGTATTAAAATTGTTAAATAATTTAATTAATATTTTAAAATTACATTTGGCAATGACAAGATCATAGGCAAACTTAAGGTATATTGGCATTTGCCTGCCATATTTATAAATTAACTAATATAACACCCGTGTCACAGAAAGGATAATAAACCTATTGAAATGTATTATAAAATAGTTTTTACACCAAACAAAACTTAATATAATACACAATAACAATACATTTATCAGAAATAAACTTTCTACGATACTATACAGGGTGGCGCCTTTCATAGGCCGCAGAAGCTCCAAGGAGAACGGTAGTTTAAATCGAAATGAAATAGCAAAATAAATGTTAGCATCATCAGCAGATGATTATAAACTAAAGTACAATCTACAAGTTGAGCGTTTATATACTCGCTCAGTGGGCACCGAGTGGGCGTGGCAAAATCTAGCCAACCGAGTCAGAGCCAACTGAGCGTAACAGTTATATTTCCGCCACTAGAGTAGTAGGAACAAAGAACTTGAAGGAATTGGACCGTTGACTCTGTTCATACTATCTTTACATTTATTAATTCTGATGCTTTCATATGCATCTAATGGCCTGTAATTTGAGACTTGTTTAATTAATTTTAAATTATTAAGATCTATACAATGTTCATTATTAACAATAAAATAAAATATACTAAAACCATTAAATTCTACGTAAAAAGGTGCTTTGGAAATGTTTTCATAAAAATACAAAATTTTCCATAGCAAAAAAGTTCCAGCGAGTTGTTAAAAATGCATATTTTTGAAAAACACCCCGTAACTCCTAAACGGTAACAGATATTGATGTGCGGTTTCCACCATCATGTTTTTGATGAAAATTGAGCTCCAGACACCGATATTAGTTTTCGTCTATCTCCTATAGAAAAGGGTGTTTCCATTTAAAAGCGTCGAATTTGACCCACCCTGTACATTGCCTTCCCACATACACACATAAAATATTTTGATTCTACATCTTTCCGTTTTCGTATAATCAACCGAGGCGAATGAAGTGCGCCACCCTGTATATTATTTTCATTTAACCTTTCGAAACCTGTAACTTTCTCGGGAAGCATTTTAAGGCATATATTTATGTAGGAACTTTTTATTTTATTTTTATATGTATAATCACCCACGGAAGTTAGATACACTAGTTTTTGACACCCTGTATAAAAATGAGACTTTCTCTAGAAAACATCTTACCATATTTCCAAGCTAACAGGATGCCATCTTTTGGATCATACGGTATAAGTACCTAAATATACCAAAAATATATCTTCCAGTTCAAATATTATGTAATCATATTCCCAAAAATATCAAAAAAATTCCGAAATACGCTAAAATGTTAGTGCTAATTTACCAAATAATTACGTAACATTACAAAAATTAAACGAAAATTTATGACACAGTGTTTGATTAATATTAAACATGAAGAAAATGTAGAAATATGCTAAATTTACAACACGGATTTTCAGATGTGTAACTTAAATTTTGATACCAACTCCCGTAATACCTCATAAATTAATATAAAATCTTACAATAGCATTTAAAAAGCACTGAACATCAGAAATATTAAATCTATAAGTAATTTATAACCTTTCAAGTTCAGATATATCAAGTCAATCAAAATATTCTTAAACTATTACAAAATCCAAACATCTTACCTTATGATATCACGCCGAACACAAAATATCATCCATAAAACACACTGAACAATAGTTTTATTGTTTTTTCATTAATTTTAACCACTTAAAACACATCCGCGGAAAACACTACGCAAAATAAAGCTTAAAATATTTCTATCAACGCAGTTTATGTCGATCTTTTCCTGCAGACACGTCAAATAAAAACATTCAGCTTTTTTGTTGCTAAGATACTCCGACCGTCAAAGCCATCTATGTTGGATGTGGATACTAAATAAACAGTTTGAATAGAATTTCTTCAGGATATCATTAACTATAAATAATATTTTTGATGGCTTATTTTAGTAAAATTTATATAAAATAAGTATATATTGTAAGTTATTACGTATTTATACAATATTTTGATGTTTTTTATTGAAAATATGCTATCTATTTTTATATAATACGATTTGAATTAAAGAAAAATATATTTAATTAAATATTGAGACTTATTATTCGCACTTTGGTAATAAAATGAATTTGTTTCTTTTGATATTTTATTTTTTATGTAATTTTGTTCGTAAAACGCTAATTATTGAGGTGTTTTAACTATACAGGGTCCGGCAAAAGTGCGTCGGGCATCTGTAGCCTGTAGCTGTTCTAATAAAAAAGTTAGAAATTTTTTTTCGTCCAGAATCCGAAAATCAATTAATATATAGGGTGTTCCATTAGAAAAAACACAACTTTGATATGTAACTTTTTTGGGGACACCCTGTAGAACTCTCTATATTTTTAAAAAGTGCTCTGAATTAACCTACATATGCTCATAAAATTTCATATCAATACAAACTGTCGTTCTCCTTGGAGTCTCCGCGGCGTATGAGAGGCGCCACCCTGTATATACAGTCAGATGTAAAAAAACGCTTTTTTTAATTTAGAGACAGTTTCCAACGCAGCGTAATATGACGTTACGAGAATACTCGCCAAAACCATCTCGTCTTATCAAAAAATTGCATCAAAAAGTAATGATAACTGAAAAAATTGGAAATTGATCGTGATCAGTTCATTTCGCTCTTAAAAATTAACCAAAGCTTGTACTGACATGAATCAAAAAAACAAATTGCTCAGGAGTCATCGTTCTGACCGTAAAATTATATTTTATGAAAATTTACACTCGAAATTATTGCACACAGTGTTTTAAAGTTAGGGTAAAAAAACCACTCCTCGATTAACCCTGTATAATATGCCAAGTAAGATATAAAAAATATATATAAAGTAAGGCACAAGCAACTAATAGAAGCGTTAGTACAAAAAAATCTCGATACAAGAGATATACAAAAAATAGTAAAACTGTACCTCAATCAAAGTGCGTCTGTTCGCGTCCTATCTGAACTGACGAGAGCAGTGGATATCAAACGAGGAGTTAGACAGGGAATATGTCTTTCACCACTCCTTTTCAACGTCTACTCAGAGGAAATCTTTAACAAAGCCCTCGAAAATGATGCTGGTGGAATACTAGTTAACGGCATACCACTGAACAATTTGCGCTGCGCGGACGATACTGCCTTCTGGCTGAAAACATGCAAGACCTTCACAATATGTTAAATAACGTCATCACAACTAGTCGAGAATATGGTCTGACACTCAATGTTAAGAAGACCAAATACATGATTGTCACTAAAACTGGAGTGCCCAATGAACATCTGTACGCGGAAGGCGAGGAGCTCGAAAGAGTAGAGTATGACTACGTGGGTACAAGTGTCGACTGCACCGCGGATTATTGTTCAGAAATAAAGATTCGCATTGAAAAGGCCCGTGCATCCTTTGTGAAGATTAAGAAGCTGCTCTGTAGCCGCGATTTGAGCCTAGATCTGAGAACTCGTATGCTCAAATGTTACCTATTCTCAGTCCTTTTGTATGGTATGGAAGCTTGGACCCTCAACGAGCTTTGCGAGCGGAAACTGGATGCCTTCGAGATATGGACATACGGATGTTGAGAATACCATGGACAGTTCTGAGAATAATGAGGAAGGACGTAGAGATCCCCAAGGAAGTGAAAAAAAGAAAATTGCAATATCTCGGCCATATCGAGAGGTCCAAGGTATGAGATTTTGCAACTCATAATCCAGGGAAAAATTGTAGGAAAAATATCTGTTGGAAGGAGAAGAATATCCTAGCTCAGAAACCTGCAAAAATGGTTTAATGTCACGTCATCTGACCTATTTAGGGCCGCAGCTTCCAAGGTCAAAATAGCAATGATGATAGCCAACCTCCGATATGGAGACGGTACATAAAGAAGAAGAAGAATATGCCAAGTACTAAAGTTTATAAAGAACTTAGTTTACAAATTAAAGTTGATATAATTATATACAGCTTGCTAAAAAATCATCAAAATAGGGCTAAACATGACAAAAATATAACACTTTAAATTGACTGATTGATTTTTCGACCAAAAATTTCTCCGTTGCGTTTTTTTTTTCATCTGAGTGTATATATATAGTATCACAACATTTCTAAAATAAAATGCAATATAAGCAACAAACAATATATTTTTCAACAATTTGTGCGTATTACATTATCATCTTTATTTAGTCAAACAACTTTTGCATCAACGTGCCATATTCGATAAACATCAAAGTGTCAACAACCACAGAAAAGCAGATATTATTACGCCTAGGTGCATTGCATCTTGTATTTTCTTCTAATCATCGTCAGCTGGAAGATTGACAGTCTTGGACTCCATCGGTTTCACCTTAAGCTCTTTCGCAAGTTTATCATTCGTAGAGTGTTGATTTTCTACGTATCTGAAACCTCCATCTTTCTTGACTTTCTCCATGTGTTGCCGTTCTTTATCGCCATGCGCCAAAACGGGCTTCGCCGGATCTGCCTAAAAAATTCATATAAAAAAATATACAGGGTGTCCAATTTTGGTTGAAATCATATGGTATTTCTGTTATTAGTAAAGAGGGAAGGATGCGGTTTGAACAAACCTGTCCCACTTTTTTGTCAAACGGAAGATATTGTAAACAAATGTTCTTCGTTTCTGAAGGGTATTTTCAAAATTTTGCAATTTGGGACAGCCCCCGTATCTCCATTATTGTGGAAGATATCGAGATGATAACTGATTCTTGTAGAACTTTTTACGTAGTGGCGTAGTCCGTTTTTCTCCCAAAAAATATTTTTGAAAATATGAACTAAAGTTATGTTTTTTTTTCAAATGGAACACCCTGTATATTTATAATTCATATTATCTGTCCTGCTGTATGAGCTTCTCAAAAACATATATCACTCTATATTTATTTTCACTATCTATTGCACTATTTAAAATATATAATTTTCTTATTAGTAGGCCATGCTAGATAACAAAAAAAAAATCGAAATGGTATTTACTAAAATAGTCATACACATATTAAAATTTTATTTGTGATTGAAACATATGAATATACAGCCTGCTTTCGTCGCCTCTTAATTTTAATTTTATACTAGTGATGGTCTTGTTTTTGATTTGATTTAGCTTTCCCTGGTGCCCTAGCCTTCCCCCTTGTCATACCCGTTGATTGCATCCTCTTTATCCTCTTTTTCTTTCCTTTGTGTTTGATTGCATTTTTTGTATTTTCTTTTATATAATTACTTAATTTGTGTATTTATATATTTTTGAATGTCTGCGGGGCTGTGCGACACAAAAACATTTAATGTTTTTGTATATCGGTTTTTTTTTGTAATCGCGACACAGTCCCTTTTACCTAATTTTTTTACAATGATTGGTTTGTATATTGGTATTTGGAGAGAAGGGTAAATAAACTATTTGAATTTGAATTTGAAATATTTTACTTTTGAACTGTTACTGTTCACTTTTCACCGAGCTTTTCACTTATTCTCTGAATATATTTTTCTTTTTTTTATAACACGATTTATTATAACGGGATGGGTTTGCAATATCTAAAGGTTGCCTGGTAGCATTCTCCAGATGTTTGACACTGTTGTTGTTGCCATGATATATTTCGTGTCAAAAATCCCCAAATACAGAAATCGAGAACGGACAAATCAGGTAATCAGGGAGGCTATCGTATACATATACATACGTCCCTTGGTTTCAATCTATTGATTTGGGGTTCCAATCCAATGATTTGGTCATTTAATAAAATTCTAACATTTTCGAGGTTATGAGGTGGAGTCCTATCTTGCTGAGAGTATATTTTACATAAATTAGCTAAAGGAATATCTAAGTTCTGGTACGATAGCTACCAAGATTTACAAATAGCGGTAGAGAGTTAACTATCCCTGATATAAGAAAAAATTATTAGTGGCTCCCAAAATAAAACAAGAGAGACAGATAACAGTATATATACTTTAACTATACAGTGTGTCAATTTTAAAACTTCCCACCTTTAATATCTTTCTTGCAGTTAAAAATATGAAAAATCAACCCCCTAGGCGGGGTAGATATCACCTTTACAATCGTAAAGGGGAATGGGGATCAAGTAGCACATCGTTTTAAAGGGCGTTTAATTCTCTTTTCAGTGGTATCTTACTTTGTTGCTTTTTGTCCAGAGGTTTCCGAATAATTACGTTTCAAAGTTGCAGAAACAATTAAACCTCCCTGCATTGAGATTTTGGTTTTCAGGCTAGTGTTTACAAAAAAAGCATTGCAATGGATCTCCTTGTAGTACAAATGATTAGAAGATTAGGTGGCAACATAGGCATAGCGATTAAATTTTTCTAGGGGGGTCGAAATACTAATAAACAGAAAACATCATAAACATTTTTAGTTTTACAGGAGGAATTGTTAACATTTCAGCAGGACGGTTCTCCACCTCATTATTTTCTTCCGGTCCGACAGTGGTTAAACGAGAGATTTCCGCTTACATGCATTGGCAGAAAGGAACCAATTCAGTGGCTTCTAAGATCACCGGATTTAACACCCTTAGACTTAGACTTAGACTTAGAAAAGCGAATTACAGCAGAATGCCGGTCAATTCTCGGTAATTTTTTCCGAAATGTTAGGGAGGAGTTTGAAAACAGACTTTATTATTGTTTAAAAGAAAATAGACATTTTCAACAATTTAGAAGATAAGTGGTGTAACCTAATTTTCTAATCATTTGTACTACAAGAAGATCTATTGCAATAATTTTTATATAAATACGAGTCTGAAAACCAAAACCCCAATTCAGGCATATTTAATTGTTTCTGCAGCCAACTTTGAAACGCGATTGTTCGGAAACCTCTCAACAAAAAGCAACAAAGCAGGATACCAATGAAAAGAGAATTAAACGCCCTTTAAAACGATGTGCTTCTTGACCCCCATTCCCATTTAAGATTGTAAAGGTGACATCTACCCCTCCTAGGGGGTTGAAAGAAAAAGAGTAAAAATATTCATTTAAATTGTCCCCCTTACAAATAAAATTGACGTGTCTTTCCAATTTTTCATATTTTTAACTGAAAAAGGGATATTAAGGGTGGGAAGTTTTAAAATTGACACACTGTATACTTTAATAATTCTTTAGTTCTTTTATTATCAATCATGGCCTACTAATAAATATGATCTTTTAATAAAAACCTTTAAAAATTGCAGTAAATAGTGAAAATAAATTGGGATATATATTTTTGAGAACTTTATGACAAGCCAGATCATATATTTTATAAATATACAGGGTGTTTAAATTAAGAAAACATAACTTCATTTCATATCTCTAAAAATATTATTTTTGTAGAATAACAGATTAAGCCATTGTATTCTACGTAAAAAGTTCCACCAGAATGTTTTTCACTTTGTCGATACCTTTAACAAACGGATATTTTAGAAACGTCTGGATTTACTTATTTCACTGAGATTTATGCAAAAAGTCCTTTGCCTCGGGTATAGATACTGCCATGTTTTGGAAACAGTTCGGAACGAAACGAAATTGAACGAGGCAACAGGAAACGGCCAAAAAAATCCACCCACGCCCTTCTCCGCAATTTTACGGGTAGTTTTGAGGCGCTTTAAAGAAACGAAAGTGGGTCGAGACCAAGCCAAAACGCGACAAAATTAGGCGACGAACCGCCACCTCGACCTGTTTCGTTCTATTCTCCGAATAGTGTAGAGCGTGTTTAAAACTGCGTCCTCACTGAGTCGACACTGTCGATCGACCATGTCTATCGACATTGTTGATCAACAAGTCGACAAAACTGCATCCGTCCACACCAGATTGACAGAAATGTTTGTCAATCAGTCGAAATCAACATGTCTGACGAAGATGACGCCGACGATCGACGATTAATTCTGTCGATCTACACCGTCGATTGCCACGTACACACCAAGTCAACAGTGAGGACGCAGCTTAAGAAAGCGTGTTTAGATACTCACCGGCTCCAAATTTCTGGCATAATTAAGTAGATCTGACAGTCTGTCTTCAAATCCAGGTTCAAAGGCGCTGGGGTCTATAGCCATAAATGCGTGACCCAAGTTGGCCAACTTGTCCGCCTGACCCCATTTTCTAATGTGCGGACCGTAGGCCGAACCTGAAAAGTCAAATTACAGATCAGGAGTGCTTTAAAATTGCTTGAATAGAATGTATAAGTTTGATATTATTTCTAGTTTCAAGTCAAGTTTTTAGCAACATTAATGATGACTAACTCAGACCAAATTCCTTCCTAACAAATACAGGAGTTAGGCAGGGATGTGTCTTAATCCTGCTATTGAACATATTCATGGCAGCGCTCTCCATTATTGTGGACAGCAACTGCAGAAAAGAGGGTTGGGCATTAGATACAAATACGACGGTGGTCTGTTCAACATAATAGTCTAAGTGCTAGCAACGTTTTCGAGAAAGTATTTTAAGACGTCTGGTTCTTTGATATATCTTTTATTATGCTTTCTGGAACAGCGTGCAGGCCGTCTGGCTGCCGATACACGTTGCGTTCACTACTGCGCATCCAAAGAAGATTCTCTATTTTTTACTTAGCGCTTTAAATTCTAGTATTGAATAAAAGTCGAGTAAGTCTCCATTAGCTCGAACCACTGACCTTCGCTTCATAGGCGAAAGCTCTACGCGCCGAGCTAATGGAAACTTGCTCGATTTTTATTCAATACTAGAATTTAAACCGCTAAGTAAAAAATAGAGGATCTTCTTTGGATGCGCAGTAGTGAACGCAACGGGTATCGGCAGCCAGATGGGCCGCATGCTGTTCTAGAGAGCATAATAAAAGATATATCAAAGAGCCAGACGTCTTAAAATACTTGTTTTCCCGACGTTGCTAGCTCTCGTACTATAAAGACTCAGGGCAAAAACACGTACAAAATTCATCACAAAACTTCAATACACTGATGACTGCGCTCTAGTTACAAAAACGTTACAGGAGTTACAAGAAATGTTGAACACAGATACCTGGACATACGAGGTTTTGTGCCTTAAGCTGAACATCCTATCTACTCAACTAAACATGTTGTTTTGTTAATATTGACATCTATTGACAATTTTCATTCTAAATATCTTGAGATCGGTTGCTCGTAGAGATTTTTACCAAGAGACATTTTTTACGTAAAAAATCACGAAAATGTATATTTTTTCACTCAGTAGTTTTATACAGGTACGGACGAGAAGTTATTGCTCTTCAAAACAGTTAAGCCACATGTAGGTGACGCCCCCTACAAATAGAAGTCATTTGACATCAAAATCAAATTTTTCCTCAAAAAACTCCCAGACATCACAATATTGATAACTAATTTTTCATCCAAATATTGACGTTACGTTAGAAATTATTTGGAAAAAATCGAAATAAAAATGAAATGTCTACACCCTGAATCTCCGAAACTAAGCATTATAGGACATACTGCATATCACTCGTTTTGAATGGATTAAAGTAGTTACCAATACATGAATCTACCCATTATGCAGCATTCCAATGCAATTTTTCTTTTATGAACTTTATATAACTCTAAAAAATTATTATTATCAGTAGAAGTATACCTACTTGCTAAAGTAGATTACGTTGAAAATAAATGAGAACAGGTGGTTAATAACAGATGTTATAAGTAAAACAAACAGCTAGAAATGCCCTGCCATCACAAAAGTTAACACATGATTGATTATCTATTGGTAAATTAATTGATGCAAAAAAACGACATGCACCTGAAAATATATTGTGATTATTTTTAAAAGCTGCAAAACATTTGCATACACAATACACACTAGATAAAGGTTGTTTCCAAAAACAAAAAACATAATATGCCACCTCTCGTGGGGTGATTCCTCACGTTCAAATAATATTTATTTTAAAAAATATCTGTACCTATGTGGCGGATTCATCTCTCCAAAAAATCCTATAAAGGGTATTTCGCCACTGCATTTCTAATCACAGTAAAAGCGTAAAAAAAGGTGTTATAAAAAGTTTATAGGATAGGGCAAAAATAATATGTTCAGATGACATTTTACTAAACAGAGATATAAACCACATAAAAAATACATTAATAAAAAACGACTATATAACGAAATACAAACCCCAAATCATAGACACAATGATAACAATACACAATATATACAACTTACAATTCCATACATACGAGGCGTTTTCGAAAAAATAAGAAGGATAGGAAAACAATATAACATACGAACATCTTTCAAAACACAAAATACACTTAGATCTATTTTATCACATACTAAACCAATGAATACCTAAATAAAACAACAAACAAAAATGTAATATACAAAATACCATGTGAATGCGATAAATTTTGCATTGGTGAAACATTCAGACCCTTAAATGTTCGAATTAAAGAACATAAAGATTATTTAAGAAAGGAAGATTTTCACAAAAATCTTTTTTCAAACACAGAGCACAGAATAAATTTTAATAACGCCAAAATTATACTGAAAGAAGCGATAGCCTCTAAAAGAAAAATAAAAGAGTTTTTTTTAATACAATCTAATAAAAATTTATTAGATTGATAAATAAAAAATATATATAATATAATAAAAATAAAAATATATTTTTTGTATTGCTCATGCATCTGTAGATGTTAGTAATGTATGGCAATCGCTGCTTTGATTTTAAAGAAAATAAGATAAATAAACATAATATACGTAAAAATTATAAATGATCATACAGAAAGTTTGGGGCTTTTTGGTTTTACCTTATTAAGTAGTTGTTATCAGGTAATAATCGTTAATTTTGAAGTTTAACTTGATATATAATGTCATTTTAACAGAACGTCAATGGTTTTTGTAGACGTATCTGTTTTAAAAAAAATAAAGTGTTCTCGAATAATTGAATTTAAATATTTTAAATAGTTTCTTTCTTTATTCTTTGTATTTTTTTGCTTCCGACGACGGAAAGAGATAAACTTTCCGAAACGTTAAGAATTTTTTTTCGTTAGGCAAATTTGTATATCTGTAAACCTAACTTCTGACAAGTAGTTTCCGTTTGGATTAACGCAGAAGTGTTTACAATAAATAACTATTTTATTTTGTAGATTTTCTTGCAGTGGCGAAACACCCATATAGGATTTTTTGGAGAAATATTTATTTTGTATATAAACTAGGATTGCCAAATTGTTATAGCTAAATTCCAGGAGGATAAAAAAGCGAGAGCAAAAAAAACAGGATGCTCTAAAAAAATACACGAGAAAATCTCTCATTACCTCCGATCGATCTTCCATCCAAGATCCTCCACAAATAACATCCGAATACCAACCTGATAAAATGCCTGAAAATATCTCGACCAGCATGCCCAGTCCGTAGCCCTTGTAGCCCGAATTGACCTCCGTGCCTCCCAACGGCATCAGCTTGGCGCTCTTGTACGCTATGGTAGGATTGGTTTCGGGCATGCCCTGGTCGTTCAGCGCCCATCCCTCGGGAATCGGCTCCTGTTTCCTGCGGGCCAGCTCTATCTGATTAAAAAGGCGGAAAAAATAAAGGGGGCAAACGAAAATACGGGTCGGTTAGTTTGGCTATTGCACTCCGGTCGCAGCTAAAATGCGATTTTATTTCGGTGCCGGATTGAAATATCTGTCAAAGACTGGTTTCGAATAATAGAGGTAGAGTATAAAATAGCAATAGCTGAGAAACAATAGTATGTTATTTACGGAGTAGGTAAGTATTTTATTACTGTCGCGAGATTAACTAAATCTCGCTACAGTAATGAAAACTTTCTTCAGAGGTTTATACCGGGTGTTTCTCAAAAGTGGCTCACCCCTATAATTTTTTTTATTTTTTCAGATAAAAAACGAGATTAGGTATGTTACTATACAACATAAATTAGGATTGATTGACATATTCAATTGTTTTCGGTCGTTTCCTGTTTCACCGGAAATAATTACAACTTTTGATTTTTAAATGCACCCTCGATATTTTTTTACTTTATTTGATAGAAAATGGCATTGCGAATAGAATAGCATACCATATGCACATAACATCCCCCTTTAGAACATTTTCTGTAATGGCAATGACTGGAAGCACAGAATATATAGTTGCGTATATATTCTGTGCTGGAAGTAAAAGCTATACTGTGCAAAACAAACACTAGAGGCGCTACTAGCCATTAAAAAGATTATTAAAAAGTTAACAAATATTCATTTGTTTTTTAAATATGTCAACATTTTTATTTCGTTGTGTTATGTGAATATTCGCTGTGTATGTATATTTGTATGTGTGATTTTGGCAATTTCCTCATTAATTACTGGTGTATTTGTACTTATTTTTCCAAGTACATTTTATTTTAATTATATTCAAATTTAATAGCAATGGATTTTTTCGACCGAGAACACAAACCTGCGAAGAACTGCAGCGTTCCTAATTATTGCAACAACGAAAATGGCAGTTTTTTCGTTTTCCAAATCCCCGGAAAGATTCAAAATGTTTTGTACGTTTTTTTTCAGTTTATAGGTATGTAATATACATAGTTTATAGTAACATCAATAATTGTCTTATTTTTATAAATGTTCGATCGGGTATTGACATAAACATTTTTTTTATTGTTACAAAATACAAAGGTATATTAAAATTAAATTATATAATATAATATTATTTTAATTACAATTTTAATTTAATTACATTTTTTTATTGTAATTTTTAATATATAATGTAATTTTAATATACCTATTTCGTTACAATTAAAAAAAAATGTTTCTGTAATATTCAAAAAAAAATCAATTACATAAATATAGGGATCGATATTTCATGAATATAGTGCGCGAACAAACTCAAGGGGGCGCTTCTTTTACTTTCATTTCATGACATATAAATCAAAATTCTAAAGAGGGATGTTTTGTGATCGTATGTCAACTTTTGACACTTTTAATTTAAAAAATACCGTATGATCGAATAAAAACGGCGTCAGCGATGGCTATAAAATGAAGATCGCTGTCATTTTATATGTAAATTTATATGGGAAATGTCATCGATTGTCATTTCATAGCCAACGCTGACGCCGTTTTTATTCGATCATACGGTAGCATTTTAAATTTCAATTTAGAGCGACAAGACACGAAAAGCGTTAGACGATCAAATCTATTTTTCCAATGCTCCTTGATTAAAAATCAGTGTTTTTTTACACAGCCATGGCACTTTAGATTGAAGTTTAAAATACAATTTTTTAAAGCGAGAATGTCAAAAGTTAACATAATATCATAAGTCATTCTATTCAGAGTATCATTTCCTATCGAATAAAGTAAAAAAATATCAAGGGTGCCGTTCAAAAATCAAAAGTGGTAGTCAGTAAAACAGGAAGTGCCCGAAAACAATCTGTCAAAAGAATATGTCAATCAGTCTTGATTTATGTCATATACTATTATACTAACGTACCAAATCTCGTTTATTTATCTAAAAAAAATAAAAAAACTACGGTTGAGCCACTTTTCAGAAACACCCTGTATAGGTACTATTTTATTTACAGCAATACTAGAAACATTTTAAACCGAAAGTAGGTACAATATTTTATTTTAAAAAAGAAAAAATATAATAAGAATGGATAGACGTAGCTACAGTTTGGTCAGTTTGATTTAGAGTGAGTAAAGGCAAAAAATGGCAAATCAGTACCAAAATCTGTTTAACCTTATACCCAAAGCATATACCTACTACGTTACTTATACCTATTTTACTAAACAAAACAATATCTTTGTATTAAAAGTAATCTAGGAGGACTCTGGCTAAATCTTTAAAAAAATCGATTTCAAATTCATTTTTTGCTTCTTGAACCATTTTGTTTTCATCTTAATGTGATTAATAATTGTTTTTCATCTTAATGTAATACCGTATGATCGAAAAAAAAACGGCGTCCAGTTGGCTTGGAAATGACGATCGATGACATTTCCCATATAATTTTACATGTAAAATGACAGCGATCTTCATTTCATAGCCATCGCTGACGCCGTTTTTATTCGATCATACGGTGCTTTGGCTATGTTACTACGTTGAAGGTGTGATAAATGATAAAAGCAAAGGTACTAGTAAAGAACTTTTTTTGATTAATTTTTTTTTGTGGGCAATTCAAATAGGTTAGCAAATTTTTTTTGCTACCTTTTTTAGCAGAGTTTAGGTAATCAAAAGTTGCTGGCATGTAGTACTCATAAATGAGTTAATCGGTGTATAAATAGAGAAATTATCTAAATGTGTTCCAAAATGTATTGATTTTCGTTGTTGATTGTCATTTTTGATATACTATACATTGCAGAATTTAAATATAATAATTTTAAAAATTCTTTCTTGCAAACCTGGTTCACTTGAAAGATTTTCCACTGTATTCGATGAAGGCAATGAAATCTAAACATAATTTTTTCGGTGCTTAAAGAGTCAACATAAACACTTACACACAAAATACATTTTATTTCGTTGCTTTGCTAGTATATTTACTCATAGTTTTTATCACAGCTCACAGCTCCAATGGCATTACTCTATCAACGTCTACATTTCCACACTCTTTTTCTTTTAACGATCTTTTATCACTTCTATTATTTGTTTTAAACTCAGTAACAATGTGTTCTATTTCACTCAGTATTATTGTATCGATATTGATAGAAAAAGAAATTATGTTATCTTATGTAGTATTAAATGCGCCCCACCCTTGACTACGCCTGTCAGAAAGCCAAAAAATTTAGGAAGGAAAGGTCTAATGTATTTTAAACGATCTAAAATTTAATAACAAACATAAGTAAATGAAAATATTTGTTTAAAAAACTCACTGAGTGAAAAATAAACCAAAAATACATTTTCTTCTTTTAAGCTTCCTGTTTGTCAGCAGTAATGCGAAAAACAAAAATTGCAATATGAAAATTATTTTTCATGAACTGTACCTTAATTTTCAAGATATTTTTCTGTAAATATAAATATTTCAGACAACTTTTAATATTAAAAAAGATTTGAATCATTGCAAAAAATAATAATAATTCATATAATTATTAATAAATATAAATTATATATGACAAACGTTAAAAATATTAATATATAATAAAAATAAACGGCGTCAAGTTGGCTTGGAAATGACTATAGATAGCATCCCCATTTTACATTAGGTACATAAAAAAATAAAATTTGTTTTGCGAGTCAAACGTCAATGACAAGCTGTTTACCGTTTGGATTCTAGGCGATTATTTGTGTATTGTGTATTGTTGTATAATTTTATAAAGAAATACTTTATTTTTTAGATTTCCCTTTCAGTGGTGTTTTTTTTTCTTTAAGTCCATAGAGTTTTTTTGAGAAGTGCACCCTTACCATCAAAACTATACTTAAACATAAAAGTGGGTTTACATGCATCCGTCATGCGTCATCCGTCGCTGCGTCACACCAATCGTGTTGAGGTATTACTTGTCATTTATGAAATAAACCAATAAAATTGCATAAAATCAACGACGCAATGCAAATTTAAAAAATAATGCCACTTTATTAATTTGTTATTTATATAAGATATACCAAACTCACCTTTCCAACAGCGACAGCCGTTGTTGCCATGTCTAACACAAAGCTGTCACCTTTTGTTGCAGGTGCCCCAAGCGATAAAGGGTTTGTCCCTAAAGTAGCCTATAAGAAAACTAAATGTTACTCAAACATATTATATAGGAAACGTCAAATAAAATTGTACTAACGTCAATTAAGCTTTATTTGCATCTTCTATCACTTATTAAAACATCAAAATTATTTGTACAAAAATTTTTTTTTGCCTTTGGAAGAAATCTAGAAAATACAATAGTTATTTTATGTAAACACCACTGCTTTGAGTCCAAACGAAAAAACCAGCTTGTCAGTGTTCTAACTAAAGTGTTCTCTGCATATCCAATCTAGACATAAAAATGTCTAGATTGGATTGAACTATATTTTTTGGACGACACCGACGGGAGGAAATATAGAGGAAATGAGGGTAATTCGGAATACTGTTGGTAATTTGAAATGCTTACCTCTCGAAGCTACAATTCAAAAATATATGAAAAATTATTTGTAACGTGAGAAAAACTTTTTTAGTGGAAATTAAATCGGCCATTGTTCCGATTTTTTATTTAAATTAACTTTGATTGGGTCTTCAGGTAAGTATTGATTTATATTTTAATTTGTTAAATGTATTTTTTTCGATATGTTAATATATATCTATATTTTTTTACAGATTATGGCGTAGGTTTTTATGTTGCTAATTTGGAATAGTTCAAATTATATATATTATTCTATGAAATATTATTATATTATTCTATGAAAGTATGTAAATTTCTTCGGCACGCACTGTAGCTCAAATTGCTTGACAGATTTTAACATATGAGGTATCGATAGATTTGTCTTAATCTGGTCATAATTGTAGGAGTTTAGAAGTTATATCGACGATCAGGAGACTGTACCTTTGTTCGGGTTCTTGTTATTATTATTCCGATTCTGAACCGTCCTAGAACACTGCCAGCCATGCACAAATGTAATAATTGCTTCATATTTCCTTTTGCGCATGCGTATTACAGTTCTATGACGGTTCAGACGCGGTGATAAGAAAAACTCGGAGACATTATGTTTTTTTCTGCGAAAGAAAGATAGGGGAGAGAGAATAGTGAGTTCAGAGCCTCACATGCGAACCATGAGTACACTTTGATTTTTGCCGGATATGACGCTGGAACATTCTCTTTTAATAAATATACGGATACTTTCTTAACAATGTTTTATTTGCCTTTTTAACATAAATAATATATCTGCTGCTACTTTGGTGGTATTCCAAAATATTATTCCTGCATGTTACGTCAACAGATATTTTTGGCACTTTCTTTTCATGAGTGAAAAAGTCATTTAGATTACTATTTTATTTTTGATTTAAATACTTTGAAACTTTCGTATGGCATACTACAAATAAATGTAGATCTAGAGCACGCTATTTATTTTATTGAAAATAATTACCATTCGAATTTTTTGCAATTTTTTGAAATTACTATTCCAAAATACCGCCACTTCCTCTACCTCCTAAAACGATAAGCGTTTTTTGCCTGTTAAGCAAATTTACTTTACTAGTAAAAAACCACTGGCAAGCTATTTTCCGTTTGACTTAACGCAGTGGTGTTCACAAAAAATAACTTTTTTATTTGGTAGTTATCTCTTCCGTCTTCGCCTCAGATATACAAAGTCATTATTTATCAAAATTATTGTAGCAACTATATAGCACTATATCAATTTCATAAAGCAAGAAATGCAGTAATAAACTTTATAAACCATACAGAATTTTTTTTTTTTTAAAAGATGAATCCGCCACATAGGTATAGACATTTTTAATAAACTTTATGTCACACTCATAAAAGTTAATAAAGTTTTTGAATGGTTTTATTATAGAGAAAGGTAATAAATCAAATGCATATTGGTGTAGATTTAGTGGCGGTTTACGAATCTGGAAATTTAATGGCCCTTAGGGAATCGGATTAACTCCTAAACAATCGAGATCGATCCCTATTATCCAGTCCACAAACCTGTTATGCGGTTTCATCATTACTTTCAATAATTCTCCAGGGCAAAAGCAGTTTGGGCGATACAAACATTCCGCTATAATCGACACAGCAATAAATTTAGTTATATTTTTGAATTAAGATAAATTACAAACTCTTTTTTTTTAGAAAATTGCAGTTTCATTAAAATATGACTAGTATTTTCTTAGGAAAAAATAAAAAGGAAAATAGTCCACATTTTTAGTATTGTAGTTGCGAAATCTTTTGGATAAAAAGCCTAAGAAAAGAGTTTAATACAGGGAGTTTTGTAATAACTACTCATATAGTTTTGTTTGATGTTTCACATCATCATCATCATTATTTTCAGGTTATTCAACTATTTCCAATTATGGTGTAGCCTCTCTCACATATTTAGATACTTCTTTTGTAGTTCGGCCCATTGTTATCCATTGTTGGTTATGCGGGCCCAAGTTATCCCTGCTAAATTCCTAATACCATGGTTCCATCTCAGGTTTGGTCTCCTAAGTCTCTTAATTCCTTGTGGGTACTATGCTGTAATTTTTCTTGCCCATTGCCACTTGAGGGATTTAGTTCCTTCTTCACCAACCTCTTCGCATCGTTGAACTTTTTTAATAAACGTCCTATACGCGTTTCGTATTTCTTGCCACGGGATATTTTGAATCACTTGTCTAATTCTGGTTTTTAAATTATCAAGATCAGGATCCAAATGAGTTGCATACACTTTCTGGGTAAGGTAGCCCCATAAGTAAAAGTCCATTACTGTAAGATCGGGACTTCTTGGCGGCCAAGGAATTGGTCCATATCGCCCAATCCAACGCTCGGGAAATTGTCCATCCAGCCATTCCCGCACAATGACAGGAGAATGCGCAGGATGACCATCTTGTTGAAAATATGTTGTATCAGTAAGTGACATTATCTAAGTAATCAAATAAAGTTGTATTTAACATTTCAAAATAATTATGCTGATTCATATTTCCATCAAAGAAATATACGGTCCAATTATTCCGTTGTACGTAACTGCACACCAAACGTTAACTTTTTTGGAGTACTGGCTTCTGCAATGAATTCCAAAATTTGGATTTTTATTGCCCAGAAGCGTAAATTTTGAGAACTCACTACTCCATTAGTTGAGAATGTTGCTTCATCGGAAAAAAATAATATTATGGGAGAAGTTTCTATCTTGCATAAACAAAAGTTAAGCCTTTTAGCATCGTCATTCGCTTTTAGAGTATGAATGAATTTGGGTTTATATGCCCGGACCTTATTAGCCTTGAAAATTATTTGTAAATATAATTTACTAACGTTCCCAATTTGGGATGCTCGGTTTCTTAGCGATGTTTTGGGGAAACGTCGAACAGAATCCAGCGCCATAGCTGCCACAGCATTTTCTTCTTCATTGATAGGAGTTTTTTTCTTTTTATAACATTCAAAACGCTTCCTGTTGTTCTAAATTTGGAAACAACGGATTTTGCTAGCTGTTTTGTGGTCAATGGTAAGATTTGGCCATTTCTCACTAACCATTCTTGTTACGTACGAGTATAAAATATTTTCTCCTAAGCCGTAACATTGAACAATAAACACTTTTTGTTCTAACCAAAGGTTCTAACGTTAGCATTTTGACTTTTTTACTGTCATAAACTAAACAATGTGACATTGAAAAAAAAAATATTATTGTTAAAAAACTTTGGTTATATTCTTTTTAACTGACAACCTGCTTTTGTTTGCAACAATATTTTTTTTTTATTTTTCATTCGTTTTCTAAAAAAAAGTTTGGTTTGGTTTGGTTTTTTAATAATAATTAATCGTGTATAAGTTTTATTTTATAGCCTCTATTGGTTAATTTAAAAAGGCAAGTAATGAAATTGCGTAAAGGTAAACAAGGATTTAAAAGTTATTCAAAAAATTAAGTTAATTTAGAGTAAATGGTATTTTATATGGAGAGGAATCTTTTACCAATCCCTTTACATTTAGGTAGTGAGATAAAATTTGGTAACGTGGTGTAGTTTTTCAATCCCTAGAACTTTTATTAATAACTTTTCATCGTATTTTTACATATACAAGTACTTTGTTCTTAGCGTTTTCCATATTTTTTAAACTTTTTAACACTCGGTATATACATTTATAAAAATAATATGCCTGTTGGTCGTTTAAGCTCAAGCAGGAGTTTTTATGAAGAATAACTTTTTTTTCATAAACCCACGAATAAAAAAGTTTTCCCTTTTTGGGAGTCAATCCGTGGATACACTGTATAATATAGTCTTCTACTATTTCCAGTATTGTTTTATGTATTAGAATGCCTTTTCTGCCTACTGGCTTGTTGTACGTTACTTTAGTTTTTGCTAAATTCATTTTGAGAACTTTATTGCTGGCTGTATTTAGTGCGTTAATTTGTATTTGTAGTTCTTCAGGACTATTGGCAATTAGGACTATATCATCAGCGAAACTTCGATGGTTAAGATATCCCCCATCTTCTATCACTGTCAAGGATTTTGTCGTTGGACAGACTATAGCTTATAAAATAATAAACTTTTGATCTTTAACTACAATTTCTCCTGACATGATAAAATCAAAAGCCAAAATGACATTCTTCGAAAATTTTGAAGTATAATTAGTAGAAAAGTTAAAAGTTTGTTAAAGCTTCATTCAGAACGTCAAAATTAGTGGTAGGAATTTTCAATTACTAGAAAAAGTTACCAATCTTAACTTTTCCACTAATTATACTTCAAATTTTGCGAGGATTGTCATTTTGGCCTTTGATTATCATATGTATTGTTTTCCAAGCTAAATATTAGGCTTTCTCTATGGATACAACTGATTATCGCAAGCTGTTACTAGGATATTTTATTAATTTTAATTATTGTCTTTTGAATGTGATCGTAAACTAAAAAATATGAAGTGAAATTCAACCCACTAATTTATTACACTAATTGAGAGGTTCTGAATGAAGCTTAACATTTTCTGCTAAATGAAAATTATTACCACTAATTTTGGCGTTATGAATGGTTATACTGAGATTAGAGGAACAAACTTCTACACCAATTAAAGCAACTAATGTATTACGCTAATTTTGAGGTTCTGAATGAAGCTTAAGAACTAATTTAGGAAATTTCCTAAGAAGGGTTTATGTTTAACAAACAAACATTTTTATTACCGTCTTCGCTCGCGTTGGCGTCATGAAAGGTGACGTATTCGAAAAACTCATCCCTAATAAACCCTCATCGATTGCTTGCATTGCGTATTTTCCAGCTATGCCAAAATGGTTTGAACCTACAAAAAAAAAAGAAAAATATTTAACCAATTTTCAATAAATATAAAATCTATTGTTACAATACAGCAATAAACTATAATATGGAAGGTTACTAAAGAAAAGACGATAGGGGAAGTTAGGAGGTTTTGCCTTAAACATGTATTGATAATACCGGGTGTTTTTCAAAATTGGTTCATCCCACAACTCATCCTTATAACTTTTTTATTTTTTCAGATAAAAAAAACGAGATTTGGAATGTTAGTATATGACATAAATGAGAATTTATTGGCGCATTTAATTAGTTTCGTTCACTACTTGTTTCACAGAAAATGTCTACAACTTTTGATTTTTAAACGGTATTCTTTTACTATATTTGATATAAAATTACATTCTGAATTACATGACATATCATATGTCAACTTTTGAAAATTTCAATTTAAAAATGCATTTTAAATTTTAATCGAGAATACTGTGGCCTTAAATGTAACGACAATTTGACTCGAATTACCAAGTATGTGGTACCAAATTATTCGTAAAAAATGCTTTTTCCAAATATGCTAATGATTCACCCTCGTTCCATTTGAAAAAATTGAGTATTAATATAAATATGATTTGTGCCTCTTTTCACCGGTCAGGAAAACAAAACTCACTAGACGATCAAATCTATTTTTCCAAGGCTCTTTGATTAAAAATAAATGGTTTTAACACAGCTATGGCACTCTGGATTGAAATTTAAAATACTGTTTTTTTAACTAAAATGTCAAAAGTTGGCATACGATATGTCATTCTCTATTATATTCTACATTCGCTATATTCTCAGAATGTCATTTTCTGTCAAAAATAGTAAAAAATACCGGAAGTACTATTTAAAAATCAAGTAGTCCGATTTATGTCATATACTAATTTAAGTGATACTAAATTAACATTAAAGTGATACTAAATTTCATTTTTTTATCTGAAACAATCAAAAAGTTATAGGGGTGACTCACTATTGCAAAACACCCGATATAATATCAAGAGTACATCTTATAGAGTTACTACTGGTAATGTTTTATTTACCTCTAGCCACAACAAAGCCTATGCCAACCTCTTTAGCCTTTTTAATTGCTAGTGCCATACACCGTTCGCCCACTACAGCACCCAATCCATTTTTACCATCCACCAAAGCCGTAGCTGCAGTTTCCTTCAATATACAAGGCACGGCTTTAGCGTCTGAGGAATTATGTTGAATGTCCCTGATGTACATTTCTAAAAGTAATAAATTTGTCGTTAACAGAAGTATGTAAAGGGTTTTGTAATAAAGGCGGGTCGATTTTAAAACGGCGATATCTGTGATCATTAATTCTGAGCTCCTGAGTGAAATGGATCTTATGCGAGTGCAAATTATCTAAGTTTAGATGCAAAATTCGCCAAGCTGGCGTCTGCGAAAAACCAACTTGTTAATGGCGAATGGAAAATTCCGGTACCGAAAGTACCAGGAATTCCCGGTTCTTTTAGGACATCGAAAACTGCGACTCGAAATCATCCGATAATGATGCTAACATGGTTAGCGAAACGCGCGTCCAGTATAGAAGTAAAAGTGTTTTTGTGTGTTGTAGTGATTTAGTGTTTTATTTTGCTCTTTCGGGACTTTCGGTAACAATAACAAAAAAAATATTTTTTGTTACATGCGAAAAGCCATTTATACTTTCTAGCCGTCGAAATCAAACTCTTCTAAATAAGTAGCGATGCTATTATTGTTCATACTTCTGAAGTTCTTTTGGCAAAGTTCCTTTAATGTTTATTAGAATTATTCAATTATTGAAGTTTAAATATGTTATTTTATTATTTAGTATAATGTTGTTCAATGCACTAATTATATTTTATGTTATGTTTTAATAGATATTAGCATTTTTAATTTAAAAATGTAGCGTTTTATAGTAAAATTAGTCTATGTTGTTTGATGTGAATTTTAAGTTCAATTCAAAACTCAAAAAATAATAAGAAAACTCACGAAATAATTTCAGGGATACCGGTGTATATTGGTGAAATCCTCCCCCACCACCGGTGAAGACTTTTTGCCGCCAATTTCTTAATTTTACGATTTTACAACATTCTAGTAGGTCTAACTGGTCTCTAGTAAATGTATAAACTCTGCAGGGCAATAAGTTGTAACCCTATTATATACTAGTAAAAATATAGAATGCACGGAAAGAACCTGATAACCACCAGCCGTCCAGTGCTCTCCTGTAAAATTAGTAAAATGGCGCTTATCATGTTTGCTCCTAAGGAGCTTTTCCAATTATCGGTTTCTGCCGATCGGTTAGACCAGTGTTTCTTAACCGTTTTCAGTTCGCGGACACCTAAAAAAATCGAGCACAATTTCAAGGACCTCCCTAATTAAAAAAGAAAACACAGAAAATTTAGGACAAATTACTTTAGTACAAAAAAAATACCTTTTTTTAAAAACTAAAAATACTGTATGAATGTGAAGGTTAGTGCTGCTTTCTTGCAACTAAATTAGTAATATACGGGTTGATGTTTTTACTTAGTTGTAATTTGTAATCTCAAATCGGATTCCAATTGTAATCTATTTCTGTATTTGTGTTTGTGGATGAGAAAAGCAGCACATGTTTCAGTGCTTCTTCTGATATTTCTTTATAAACTTTTTTTAAATTCACCCAAAAATTTGATAAAGAGGTTTCTTTGAAATTATGCTTTAAAGCTGAATGACGTGATATTTTTATTAATCGATTTTCCTGTATCGTTGTCAAGCCGTTGATGTCTGAAACATCTGCGTTAAAAGGGTCTGCTATCCAGTTTTTATTTCTGTCGGGTTCAGAAAAATATTCCCGAAAAGATGACCTCAAACCGCGGAGATGTTTGATCATTTCGTCTCCTACTTGCATTGGCAACCTTTCCCTACCAGATGATTCCAAAGACGCTACCAGTCAGTGTAGGAAAATGAGTATAGTTTTTTTTATTATACAATTAGTTCAAAGGTCAAGTTGTGATGTAAGTGCCTCTTGAAATTGTTTTTGGACTAGAATACAATGAAGACAGTCGAGAGAATACCGGGTGCGTCTTAAAAGTGGCTCACCCCTATAACTTTTTTATTTTTTTTAGATAAAACGACGAGATTTGGTGTGTTAGAATATGACATAAATTAGGATTGATCTACATACTCAATTGTTTTCGGTTTCACCGGAAATGACTAAAACTTTTGATTTTTAAATGACACCCTCGGTATTTTTTACTTCATTTGATAAAAAATGACACTCTGGATAGAATGACATATCATATGTCAACTTTTGACATTTTCGCATATGGTTTATTTGAAATTATAACATGCGGTTCATAACGATAATTTGACTCGAAATACCAAGTCTATGGTATCAAATTATTCGTAAAAAAATGCTTTTTCCAAATATGCTAATGAGCCACCCTTGTTCCATTTGAAAAAATTGAGATATGATTAAAAATACGATTTGGTCATCTTTTAACCGGCCAAGACAAGACACCAAAAACATTCGACAATCAAATATATTTTTCCAAGGCTCCGTGATTAAAAATTAGTGTTTTTAACACAGTCATGGCACTCTAGATTGACATTTAAAATACAATTTGTATTTGAACGAATGTGTAAAAGTTGACATATGATATGGCATTCGATTCAGAGTGTCATTTTCTATCAAATAAAGTAAAAAAAATGCCGAGGGTGACATTTAAAAATAAAAATTTGTAGTCATTTCCGGTGAAACAGGAAGTGACCGAAAACAACTGAATATATCAATCAATCCTAATTTATGTCATATACTAACAACTAAAAAAGTTATAGGGGTAAGCCACTTTGGAGACGCACCCGGTATATCTGTGAGCGTTCAGCGTGCGCCAGCAACTGAGACTGCTTGCTGGCGCACGCTCGCCGTGCTAAGCGTAACTATTACGAGACTTGCTGACATTTAGTTATAAATTAAAATATTCATATATAAGGTGGCGAACCCCCATACATATACTAGCGGACCCCCAGGGGTCCGCGGACCACAGGTTAAGAGACGACAGGTTAGACCGATTTGTCAAATGCCAATCAGCTTTTTGGCGTTTTTGGTGATGCCAAGAAGCTGAAAAACTTTAATTTGAACAGTTTATTCCGTCGATAAACCGAATTCTGCCGTTCGATTTGGCTATGCCGATCGATTTCAAGTAGTTTATATGTCTTTCTAATACTAGTGTGCATTTCGGCCTATTCTGATCGACATTAAATGCCGATCGATAAACCCGAACCGTATCCATCAAAAGTCGATATATCAAAGAGAAGACGAATAACCTCTTCAAATTGAAGACTCAAAAAAAATTGAAGCCTCACAGCATCACCAAAAACAACAAAAACGCCAAAAAGCTGATTGACATTTGACAAATCGACTTGGACTGATCGGCAAGTGCCAAAAAATGGAAACGGGCCTTTAAAGATTTTTTATTCTCTTCTGTGCTTTAAAGGTTAGCGAATGTTCGTTCTCACGTCACGAATGTGTTCTCTATTACAACACTACATGCACAATTAGAATTATTGATTCGATTCAAAAATAATTCGTATCATCAGCCGCAAATTTAATCTATTTTCTGAATTAAAGCGGTACAGAGTAAATATAAATAAAACGCCATGTGAAATTCCTAACAGCAATTTCAATTAGCGATTACGTTTAAAGTGACAGATAATAATACGCATGATGTATATATGTACATACATATATACGCACATGCTATCAAGGCCACCAAGGCCACGATATCTATAATAATTGGACCTGACATATGAAATTTAATATGTTTTGCTAGAGAGATCAATTAAAAGTAATTAAATAAATTAAGTGGGATACTCGGGAGACAATATAACTTTAAATAAACACCAAGGTGAAGTTTATCTTTAATAATTTTATTTTAATTAATACAGTTAAATATTAACAATTTATCTGTCGAAAAATTAATAAAATCGTACACTTATTTTTTATAAGTTTAAATAGATTAAAAACACATTTAACAAAACTTCCTAGATATTTTAAAAATATACAGTGTGTTTCAAAAAACATGTGCCATCTCTAGTGGGGAGATTCCTCACGTAAAAATAACATTTATTTTTCATATCAACATAGGCCCGATTCTGCTTTGTTTCGTAGCTACAGGGTGTTAAAGTCGCAATAATATTACAATTTATTATAATTTTCTTCCAAGTACTTTTAGTGATTCGAATGAAATTTTGAGGGTAAAAGTTACTATAAATGCTACATATTTTAATGCTATAAAGGTGTCAAAAATTCATCAGGAACGTGCATATGGGTTATCACTGGAATATTTTTCAAAAAAAAACATGTGTACCACTGACTTTTTTTCTTCTCATATCAAAATTGTGTAGGCCGTTTAATGCCAATTAAAAGTTATCTCCTGATATTTTGTCGAATTCGGCCTCATTGACGAGATGAACGTATTTTTATTAATCACAATTAATGAAATTAAAATTAAAATAAAATTAATAAATTATATATTTTATCTAATTTGTTATTAAATATTACTACCATTAGTTATTATTACTACTAATCCAAACTACAGCATTTTCAAATAAAAAAATAATGACATTTAAGATAATTAGAAAATACCTAATTTTAAAAAGTTTTAACATCCTGTAACTCTATGCATTAACCTGTAAAACTATGCATTTCCATACCCATGGTTATAACAACTTTTTTCATATTTTTTGATGAGGCATCAATGAGTACTTATTTAAGACTTTCGCAAGTTAATGATATTAAAATTTTTTAAAGGTTGCTACTAGACTTGGATCAAGGTAAATTAATAAAATTGCGATTATCTCATTAAAAAGGCCGAAATCGACGAAATATCAAAAGACAAATTTTAATCAGCATTAAACTGCTTACACTATTTCGCTAACAAGAGAAGAAAAAGTCAGTGGCATACATACTTTCTTTAGAAAAATATTCCAGTGGTAACCCATATGTCCCTGGTGAGTATATCGACACTTTTTTAGCTTTAAAATATGTCGCATCTATAGTAACTTTTACTCTCAAAATTTTATTCGAAACGCTAAAAGTACTTCAAAGAAATAAATCGAAAAAATAATAAGATTTTAACACCCTGTAACTACGAAACAAAGCAGAATCTATGTTGATATGAATGATATGAATGATATTGATATGAAAAATAAATCTTATTTTTATGTGAGGAATTTCCCCACGAGAGATAGCAAATGATTTTTGAAA